AAGACTCGGGCGGCTCCCGCAAGTGTATCTCCACTTGCTCAGGTATATTGTACACAAAGTCTCTAAAGTTTTTCAATGGACAGACGCCATCCAACCGCGAGAAACTTTCATATTTCGTTGTTTTGTTACATTCAAGATTCGGTGTGCACTCCCGGACCCGGAAATGCCGATCTACATCGATGTAACAAGCCTTGCTTTGGAATAGCTCGCCGAGGGTTTTGCCGTTCGCGTTCGGGTGTGCTCCCATGACACAGTCCACAGTAAGACGCAGGGGGCTGACAGCTGACACGTTGACACTGTGACACATGGCGCAATACGCGTTCCTGAAGACAATGCCTGTTTCGGTGTGAACCATGGGCCGCGTTATTTGGTCATCAATGGCGTACGCAGACGCGTTGGTGCACAGCTCATAAACGACCGGATCTCGTTGCAGCCAACCGTCGGGACACGTATCCACTGCCCAAACATAGTCCTTTAGGGCATAAACGTCCCCCAGGCTTCTGCAGTAAAGGTGCTCCAGCACAGTGGCGGGTAGGATGGGAGACAGCGTCTGGTGGCTGGCCTGGCACCCAGCGTCCTCGGGGTAGCAGCAGTCATTCAGGTCACGGCAAAGATCGTCACAAAAGCAGGTGCTTGCCAGACTCCGAATGACGCAAACAAATTCGTGGTTGACGGCCGGCCTGCTGGACTCAGGGTCCATGTGGATTCTGAACATCGGAGTGTAACGCACGTCTGTTTTCCTTTTCTTTCTTCTGGCCACATGGCCTGCCGTCTGGAGTATTTGCTGAAGAAGAATACGATTTTTTTTTTCTTTTTTTTATGGTCTACTTTGCCTCTAGTCGGAAATAGTGTAACTGACGTCACGAGATGACCAAGTTGATGTTTTGAGTGTTTAGACAAACATTTTTAAATGCTTATAATGTTAGTACTTTTTTTATCTGGTCCTTTCGTGACGTCATATTGACTATTGCCGGTGCACATACTGGTATATATTTTGTACGCACCGCAAGGTTACTCCCTATAAGGGGTCCTTTTTCTAGCTTATATGAAAAGTCCGTCATATAATTATGTAACTGCTAGATCTGGAAGAGCCATTGGTAGAGAATACTGTTATACTTTTTAACACGCCATATTATTGACTGCAATGCCATGGAAACACGAGTTCAACATCATCGAATTATACGAAGTATTCTACGAAAAAATAATTTATTGCAGACCAAGAGAAATGGAGATTTTTTTTAATTTCTCAGCACCCATTAATAAACTTTTGCAATAAAGATTACCTTGTTCATTCCGGGCGTTTTTCCTGGAAAATCTGGTGACAGAAGGCTAGAATTTGCAGTAGCCGTGGCCACGGGTCTCGGTTGCCTTTTCAGGCCCACTACTAGCGCTGGAGGCCGCCCGGGAGCCTTTCCACGAACGGCGTCTTTCTCTCTTAAGGATCCCATGGATGCCAGTCGTAGAAGAACGATCAGAATATAGACGGAGAGTAGCACGGCCACCACGATGACAGAACCTTTCAAGATGGCGCCCAATATACGCCCATAGTCACACTTCTGGTTAATACGGTTTCGAGCGTTCTTTCGATGCTTTTCCATACTGAATTTCGCGTTGTGGTGCTGCAAGGAAAACTTGAATGTTAAAAGAAAACAGTCATCAGCCCTTACAACAAACGCCTTGAATATTTGAAGACAATTCTTTCCTTACAATTCTTCCCTAGTAAACGAAAAGTTTCCAAGAAAAGTTAAGTGATGTTGTCTGTCTTTGGTCTTTAAGAACATGGATGTTTGAACGCGAGACAACTGGAGATGCGCTGTACAAACAGCTTGGTATGTTCACAGGGGTTATTACGTAAGAGATATACGAATGTTTCTTTCTATATTTTGTTTTGATGCTGAAGTTTTCAAACAAAAAAGTCAGTCAGTTTTTAACATCAAATATCGCTCTGTTCCTTACCCTAGCGTAGATAACAATGTGCACGTATTCGTTTTGACACCAGTGTTCTCCTTCGAAAAGATCTGCAGTATGAGCTTCATGCCGCGATTTCTATATAAATGTCCGGCGGAAAACACCACAACGCGAATGTCATTAGCATAAAGCCACCACTTTGTGCAGGAATCGAACACCGTGATTGGTTGTCTCAATCAAAAGCGCGTGGTAAACGAGACAGCTTGGTAAATAGGGCGTGGTAAACGAAAGGGCGTGGCTAATGTCGGCGTGGTTATGGTAAATTTGTGGGAAATAAGAGAAACAGAGGATGAAATGGCTTACTGCTAAGAGTTGATAATTGAGATTTTATGTTTAAAAATAATACATAAACTGAATTATTATTTCAAGGTTAATGTATAAATTCAAATTTCTCGTAACTAAAACGCGGGAAATAAATCATTTGCATGGAAATACGGTCGGATTTTTCGCAGTAATTCTCTACATAACTCAACCATGTGAGTCTCATAAAGGTGAATATGAGGAACGCCATTGAGTGATTTGCAATTACATGTGTATTATTTCCAATTTTAAACCGCATTAGTTATTACGGAATTAAAAGTAAAGCCCCAAACCTACCTCTAGCAGTTCTTGTTTTCTATTCTTCGACGCCCGGTGAGATTTTCGAAACAAAGCAATTCGTTCTCTGTACTTAATGTATGTGTGGCGCCGGAGATAAAACATGATATCTTAGCGATATCGATGTTGAATGATACTTCATCAGTCCTAATATTTTCTACCATCTCGTGATACGTCTGATACTTTGACAATGGACGCTAGAACCATTCAGCGTCTTTCTTGCGGGCCTCTAAGCTTCTCGGCGGAGTACACCAGTGCTGTGACAACATGGTAACTCTATGACGCGGTGAATGTTTAACCACCGTGAGTGCAAACCAACAGCGTGAAATTAAGGAATGGCTGCAAGATATTTTTTTCCGAGTCTCCAAATTCCTATTCCACTCCATTATGTTCAGGAGGAATGGTGTGGCCACGTTTAATTGTTCTCTCCAAAACGTTAATTATTTAGAGAATCCGCCGGGAGTGACAAACCAACATCGTGAAATTACGGAATGGCTGCCAGATATTTTTTTACAGTTCTTCAACTTCCTATTCCACTCCATTTTGTTCAGGATGAATTGTGTGGCCACGTTTATCTGTTCTCTCCAAAACATCAGTTATTTAGAGAATCTGTTTACCAGCTAAAAATATTTTCCACTTCAAAAGTTGATTATCTAAAAATGGAATGTGCTAGGTATTTGGATCATTCAGACAAACTAACATGACTATCTGTATAACTGCTTGGTTGATCCAACTGCATCTTATCGTAAGGGACGTTGAGCCCACCTGTTGCAGCCTTATTAAAGAACCTGAGCACCCGAGGGCAAACGCACGGGTCTGCTAACTCAGTAATTAGTATACATATCAGGGTTTGGCTGCGGGGATAAGCGTATAGAAAATGCATGTTCTGTCACAGGCCTACCCAACTACCAGACTCGGCATCTAAGGATCCTGAATTAACCGGTATATCGGACCACGCTACCCGTTTTCAAGGTGTGTGTCAGATCGCATTTCGGAGTATCATACCCCAGAACAAATTTTGTAGCACGACTGCAGGCTCATCCACGCTCGGCTGAACAACCTTAAACTGTAGGCCTACTCTTACTTTAGAGTACTCTATTTTATTGTCTCTATGGGGATATATGGGGACTTTACGACATTCGGTTTGAATGTTTTAACCACTTTTGATAGGGCTTTTTTGCATTGTATTAGATTAATGTGGCAGTCTAAGGTTCATCTAGGTGGCTTTCAAAATTATGCACCCGGTTTTAAAATCATATAGCGATTTTACGACAATCATTTACTATCCAATCAAGGTGACAGCCGAGCATGTCAGGGCTCATCCTGTCGGTGTTCTGGCTGATACTCCGAAATGCGATCTGACACACACCTTGAAAACGGGTAGTGTGGTCCGATATACCGGTTAATTCAGGATCCTTAGGTGCCGAGTCTGGTAGGTGGGTAGGCCTGTGTCAGTACTTTGGTCATGACTGCGCAAAAGTGCACATTCAAACACGCACACAAACACATAAATTTTGGGAAAGTTAAAAAATGTTATGTCAAATCTTTATATTTAATCAACACAGACACACTACACTACACACACACACACACCATGTACTGTACACCTACGATTCTTACATAAATAAAAATAGGGGTCCTTTTAATAAGGCCTCAACATTAAACACATATCAGCTGTAGTATTCATAATTTATTAGTGCATTTTCATGAAAGTCTTGTTTAGTAGCAAATATTGTCCAAACCTCGACTTTGATGGGGTACAGTGGGCAAAGATTCGTTGTCCAAGCTCTTGGAGGTGCGGTGTAACAGTGGAAATACTACATGTAGTAAACTGGAAAATGCATTTGACCCCTACACACATCATATTTATTATTATTATTATTATTTTTTTTTTGCAATAAGGTTTTTATACATACACACATCAATTTATAGCACAAATCATCTGCTATGAGGCGGAGAGCAGAAATTGATATAGAGAACAATTACTGTGTCGATTACGCCCAATTTTAACAATAATTTTATACATTATCTGGTATTATTATTTTAAAGCACATCACATAATAGGCAGTTAGGAAGTAGCATTCTAGTATAGAAAACATATAAGTATTGAAAAATCTGATCGTTCAGGTTTTCTTTTTAATCTTAAATCTAAGCGTCTACGGCAGCCAAACATTTTATTTTAAGTGGTGTACCTCACTGTTTTATTTAAAAAAAAACAGGACAAGTAGGACACCGGTTGCACCTGACCGAAGCGCGATGTATTACACCTGTTGCGCCTTATAACCTACGTGTGATTCTACTGCAGCAGATATATCACTGGAGATCAACCGTTTTAAATTATTATTTTCACCTGTCACGTGTTATGATGATAACCCCATAGACAACTACTGCATTTGTCACGGCACTGTGCCGTGCGCGAGACAAAATTAAATCCTTCCATGTCTCGGCCAATAAAAACACGCTGGAGCGACCCGCCTTCATTAAGACAGGGAGTGCTGCCCTAGTGGCCCAAACACCGCTATGGCTGTCCAGGTGCCAGGACTCATTGCAATCATCGTGTCGTATGTTGTCGTCTTTGCCATCGGTTTGTGGGCGGCGTGGAAGAACAGAAGACAGTGCTGCAGGGAGAAAGTGGAAGATGTCTTTCTGGCTGGGAGAGATATAGGATTATGGCTGGGCATGTTCACGTTAACAGGTATCTTTGCGCGTTTATGCAGTGATCTAAGACCCCATTCCCCATAGACACCAACGGTCTACGTGGATCGACCCAAGTCTGCAGGGTCTTAACTGAATGGCAACCTTCCTCTTGTTTCCGACGTACTCATATAATCACCAGAACTTCTATTTTCTGCTTAACGCCACGAGGAAGCGTGTAAATGAGTAAAACTGATTTGCATTTAGCGAGAGTCCCCTCGGATTTGGGTCGATTCACGTAGATCGGTGATGTCTATGGGGAATGGGACCTAAGTGAGTACGTTAGTAAAAAAATAAGGTATGTGGTACCAGGTGAAACAATCATTGTGCCCTGCGTGACTGGGTATATATGGAGGAATGCTCGCCGTTTTTGTTTTGTTTTCTTTTCATAGTAGGTTATAACATGTTTAGCAAAACTATCTTGGTCGCCTGGTTACCTAACGGCTAGCTCTAGCATTACAGTGTCTTACGTTAATGGGACTTCACACCAAAAGAATCGCAATTAAATTTTTAATCGATGAATCAAAACAAGGATGCAAATTTGATGTAATAAAGAGGTGACTCGATCTGCATGGGCATTATTTTACGTGCTGTTTTTGGCAAGTGTCATAACATTGGCAAAGAACTATTTTGCAAGTATGATGAAAATATTTGTAGTGGATGAAATATGTATGAATGGCAAAGTGGAAAAGGATTTTATTAATCTCTATTTATTTATTTTTATATTTATCTTATTAATTTCCTGATCAAGCAACACAAATGAAAGCGGCGCAAAAGAAAATGGGTCATGGGGAAGATTCATTTGAAACTTACCATGTTTTTTCCCATATGGAACAAAGTTTAATGGATAGATAAACATATAAATAATATGTATCTTGAGAACGAATTCGGCATTTTATCACGACTTTGGGTCGTGATGTTATCTGCGTACGTGCTGAACTTAGTCGTATGTGGACCAAAACGAAATGTCCCTTATTCAGTAGACTGTAATACCATATATATATATATATATATATATATATATATATATATATATATATATATATATATAAAGGGTGATTGCCGGTGTCGTATACTAGGGAGACCCCTGTGCTACTAGTACAACCCGGGTCTGGTGTCCATTTAATTTTACAGGCAAGACTCGTCCTTTTTTACCCATTTACGTCATGAAAGCAATAACTTGTGTGAATATAAAGAAAGACGGGCTCTTTCAAACGCGGAAATTACGAGGCCAAAAATATTATTTTGAAAGTTCAAATTTTGTAAAGATAAAGAGAATGTGTGCATTTAGTACAACTTTAAAAGGTATGGTCACTATTACCACAGTGTAGTACCGGGTATCTGTCCACTTTTTTTGCTTGTGGCTTGGTTAAAATTGCCGTTTATACCAATTATTCTCCCATATAGGGCCTATATCTCCTCACCGAGTGAACCAAAAAATTGACTGTAGCAGCAGCAATTTAGTTGCCTCGAAAGCATGCATTAGTTCTGCTTTTATTATTGTGTCTGTCTAGAAATTTGCAGGTTGTGTGTGCGCATACACCAAAGTGTACACGATGCTAGTTAACAGACACTACATATATATCCACGTTTGCTGTCAAAGACCACTCCGATGTCGTTCACCCGAGACGGTGACTTGATAACAGCATTTCCAATACGTAGAATGTACCATTACATCAGTATTAACTCGCTGATAGTTTATCTCCCGAAAGTGCAATGTAAACCAGTACCCTGCGGTTTTATCGCCCTCAAGACTCACCTGTTTTTCTCTCACAGCCCAATATCTTAGTTATACATGTACTTAAGTTTTTTTCGGTGTGTTGTCTTTCAGCACTAGTAGAGTACATGTACACATGTTCAAGCTTTGTCCATGTTGGAATGACTTATAAGGAGCGCTTTTAAGCTAGAGCAGTTGAATTTAAATAAATGAAGAAAAGAATAATGTTTTGTCATGGTTTTTGGCACAGTTGTATAAAAGCACTGGACGACATAAGGCGTATAATCCAATTGCCTTTATAAAAATCTTGGTAGTGGGTGCCTCATTGACATAGAGGTACTTGTTTAGATTGCCCATTTTGCTTTTCACATCTGGCGTGAAAAAATGATTTTTGATGTCTTACAGATGTCAGAGGGCTATAACAGCAGCACTTTTGTTTCATGCGTATGTCAGTAGTCATTTCTTATCCCTTATGGGGAGCACATTTGATATTAGGTCTTATGTACTAGTACTTCCCCTGCACGCCCGCCTACTGCTCACATGCAACAGTAAAGATGTTAAGTACACGAATATTTCCCATCTTTCTCCGAAACTTCACTGTTAGTTTGTGCAAACGTAGTCCCTTTGCCTGTGTGTCTGTCCGTCTGTCTGTTTGTCCGTCTGTACGTCTGTCCGATATGTCTGTCTTTTTGCATGTCTGATCTGAGCTGATTTGTATAAGAATTGTCGCCCCTAGGATCGAATTCCGTTTCCCACTACTTTTAACAGACCTGACTTTCTTCATTTTCACATTACTAGCCCATAATATGTCATATTATATCCGTGAATAACTCTAACGTGTGCTAGTAATATGTCCCCAGATATGATTCCCCGGGTCTGTCATTTCTGGTCATCGCTAAGTTCAGTTTATTGCCAATAACTACTTTCTGTAAACTCTCTCCTTTTCTTCATTTCAGCCACCTGGGTGGATGGCTCCATGATAGCTGGGACAGTGGAAGGGGTATTCAGTCAAGGCATGCCTGCTGTCATGGTACCACTGGGGTATGCCGTGACACTTGTCCTAGGTGGGTATTGTATGTCATGGTACCACTAGGGTATGCCGTCACCCTTGTCCTAGGTGGGTATTGTATGTCATGGTACCACTGGGCTCTAAAAATTGTCTAGGACTCTAGAACAATATGGATACGAAGCATAAAAATTGCAATGATAAATAATTGTTTATAATTTCCTTTTTCAGATTCAATTTACTTTCTATTTTTTTGTATTTAATAGATTGTGCCTAGTGTTGATCAGTTGTATTACGGTTTGCAGCCGTAGAATGCTTATCGACATCAAACACCCGCATCTCGCCTTATGTAGGGCACAGAAAATACACTACTCCGACTTTACGTAATCCAAAACAAGGCATACTTTAACCTAAATTAGCCATCTGATTCATAAATCATCATTTACATTGCCACCTGTCAAAAAAATGAAAGAGGTGGCAAAGAGCATTTTTGTACACCGGATTTTTTCTGTGATCGACGATTGTATAGCCATACATAGTACACGTCACACATGACAGGGTTTTCTTCAAGAAGGGTATCTTATTTTACCCAAGATGTTTAATTTAAATCATAGCGTGGTTTACAACGCGCACTGGTACATGACAGAGAATACGGGGATATCACCGAGGAAGATGGATGCACAAATTGCGCCCTAGACAACACATGTATTTTCCGAGTTTCAAGATGCATAGGGGTACCAGAATTATAGTTAAATGAGCAAAAACGGCCTTTTCAGCAACATATAGATGTCACCATTTTGATTTTTTTTACTGGAGCGCTTGCCATCCAGCACTGTTTTGTCTACTGGAGAGCAAGCTCTTCCGTACACAAGGTGGAGGTGCAAAAAGAGCTTGATTCCCCGCAGGGTCGGATTGATCTACGTAGAACGAAAGGTTCATTGGGAAAAGTGCCCTAGTATTACACTCATATTTATAAGATGCAAATATGAGCATTAAATTGTCTATTGATGGGTGAGTTCATGTCTACGTTAGATATACCTACATTGACTCACGTATATATATATATATATATATATATATATATATATATATATATATATATATCTTCTACTTTCACTGCTTAGAGAGTGCTGACGTTTTACCATACAAACTGGGGTTAACAGTCAAGCTGTTGTATTAGGTTCTGAAAGGCAGCGATAAACAGCAAGAACTTTCGCTGCTACAACACGAACTATGCCCCTGTTTCATCTCCCAAGTGCTGAGTGCTAAGCAGGAGGACAACAGGTACCATTTATGAATGACTGGTACTGTATGTCACCGCGGACGGGTCGAAGCCAAGCATTTACGCTCCGGCGCGGACACTTTGACCCTAAGGCCCTCCGGTCGATGAGGATGACGCAAAACGGGTCTTTAAGTTTGGGACGTCTCATTTCTACCTCTGAGGTTGTTAACCTTTTCAGTGATAGGGAACAAAACGCCTGTTGTAATTATTTGTGGTTGTCTATCATATACATAAAGTCTGTGTTTGCATTTAATAATCTATAAGCATCATAACAGCGTGGTAGTGTGCTACATAACCAGAGGGATTGCGATAACTCGGGGTGCTGAAGTTTGACTCTACACCATCCCAGACTTAATAAGACCGTGTTTATAAACATAAACTCATAGAAGAAAAAGAAAAGGGAAGGGGACAGCCAATTGCACGAAGCTACTGCTTGCAGTTTCATTCAATCTTACAACGTATTCTCCTTGACTAATTTGGCCACCGATAATTCCGAGATATAATTCCCTGGTTACTTTACCAGCACATGTGCCCCGAATTCAAAAGCACAATGACTGTCTCCATTTCAACTTGTTGTTTGGACGATGGCGTCAGTAATATTATTGCGGTTATATGTTTAGTTTTAGATCTCTACTTTCTTGGGAACATTCAGTTTAACTGTATAGTGACAACGACAAATAAAAGTAGTTTTACATGAAGAAAGCATACAACTGTAACCGAAACCAGTGCGCTTTTGACAGCTAGTTCTTTCTCCAAATAGACATAGACTTATTTAAAATTCAGGTATTAAAAACATGTTTTCTTTCTCGTTAAACCAACAGCTGGCCTGTTTTACGTGGAGAGAATGCGTAGCCGGGGTTACATCACTATGCTTGACGCATTTGAAAAGAAGTTTGGGGAAGTGATGACGGTGTTGATGTTCATACCAGCGCTCTCTGGGGATTTGTTTTGGTGTGCAGCGACGCTTGCGTCTTTAGGTACGTATAGAACATATTGTTTTTTAGAGCTTAATAGTGATCCCCGCTTTTCTCTTTTTTTAAACTTCTTTTACAAAATATCAATATAACTCTTCTTACGTTATTTGTTATAACTCTTTTTCTTATCACTCCCACTCTTTGTCCTGTATGTCTGTGCTCCAAAACTACTGTAGAAAGTCAACATAGTTTTGCGTAGGCTATAATATATAAAGAAAGAAACACGTTCTCCATATTTTCCAGGCACCACCCTGACAGTGGTGATCGGTATGGACCACTCCACTGCAGTGATCGTGTCCACCGCAGTAGTCCTGGCGTACACTCTGTTCGGGGGCCTGTACTCCGTGTCGTACACTGACGTCATACAAGTCTTCCTGTTGTTTATAGGCCTGGTAAGTGCGCTGACCTCACTTACTTTGTGTAAGAAGACTAAAGGATAATAAATTAAGCTAACAAAATTATAAAATAAACACAAAATTATAAAAACTGAACAAGCATCATGGATATGGTTTATAGATGATGCGACAAGAAAAAAGTGTCAGAACTCATTTGCAGCTCAAATCGTTACACACCTAACAGTCAAGCTATTCTAGTATTTCCAATTACATGTACATGTTTGTTATTCCTAATTTTGGGTTAGTTTGCACATTGTCTTTATAAATCCGGTGTTTTCACTAAACACTCCAACATAAAACATATGTTCAGTCTTATTTATCTCAACAGTGTTTATCCAGTATACAGTTCCTTTAGAAATGACAACGCTGTGTATTGACTCAGACAACTTGTCGTTCTATTTCCACAGGGTGTCGCTGCTCCATTTGCGCTTTCTCACCCGTCGGTCACTCCCCTGCCTGACTCCATGACCACGTGGGTCGGGGAGGTCCAGCCCAAACGTATAGCTACCTTCATAGACGTGGCCCTCCAGATCATCCTGGGGGGCATACCTTTCCAGGTAAGGTGTGCTGAGTCGTGAAACCCGTTCGGGATACTTCGGCTGTCTCCGTGCCTCGTGGCTGGTGACGGAATTAGCCGAAGTGAGCGTCAAAGATCATTCTAGGCTCCGCGGCTAGCGTCTAAAATAAAAAAAATGTGAACAAATTACTATGATACAAAGGCCCTCACTTTTTCCTTTTTTTCACAATTTTAGGGCGTGGTGGCGGTTTATATCGATATGTTTTGGGTGGGGCAAAACATCTTGAACGAGATTGATATACGTGATATTCTTTTCTAATTATAAAGATTCACGAATGTATTTTTTATTATTTCATAAAATGTATGAGACAGTATTTAATTTTAACTTTTATTTTTAATTAAAATTACTAAATGTTAAAGACCAATACATATTGGAAACTGTTACTTTCAGCCGCTGTTCCAGCGGGTTCTTGCCGTCAAAACGATAAGAAAAGCTCAGATCGTGTGCTATGCAGGAGCAGTGGGGACCGTTCTCGGTACAATACCCCCGGTTTTACTGGGATTGGCAGCTGCCTCATCGAGTAAGTTTCTGCGCATGCTCACAACTCAGATACCAAGGACCGGGAATATATTTAATGCCATCATCAAATTACATGCGAACACTGATAATGTTCTGGCATCTTCAACTTCAAGCATAGTAGTTGACCGCTTGGTGATGACACATTTTTGTCATTACCTGAACAAGGTTTTAACAAGACATGTACATTTACCACAGAAAGTAACCAAAAGTTTCTCAGAATTCCAGCCTCCTATCCCAAGCTTATGTCAGATATTTAAAAAATATAAAAAAGATATATGCTACATATGTGCATGTACATTTAAGTTTTTGTTACATGCATTACTGTCAATAGAAGTAACTAGAAAAAAACAAATTAAAATACCAAAAATATCCTTGTTGAGAAAGAACAAAATATTTTGTTTTTTATTTAATGCTTGCAGATTGGACAGAGACGGCTTACGAGGGCACCATCCCTATCCCTCAGGAAGACAAAAAGTTTATCTGCTCCCTGGTTCTCCAGTACCTGTGTCCCTTTGTGGTCTCCATGTTTGGTCTCGGGGCCATGAGCGCCGCCGTCATGTCGTCTGCTGATTCTCTGATTTTGTCTTCAAGTTCTTTGTTTTCAGGCAATGTGTGGAGAGTGCTGAGGAGACACAAGGTATGTTAATGTTCACTTAGGAAAATGTTGATCTGTTCCAAGACTCGAATGAAATGTCCATTGGAATGAATATATTTTGCCTCGTTGAAAGTGTGATTTCTGTAAACAAGCCTTTGTATTTGGAAATTTAGACCACGGGGCAACAGGTTTGAAATTTGGTATTCTGTAGGTACAGAGTACGTATACACCTTTACATGTACCGGGTAAGCCTGTTTCCCGTCATAACTCTCATAGCATTGGGGTGTTTGGGGGTTGTTTAGTATGTGACTATTGCAAGCAAATCACTGAGTGGGATATAAGGTGGAAAAATCCGCCGATATATTTTAAAATTTAGTGATGGTCTCCACGTTTTTTTTTTTATATATATATACAGGCTAAAGATCAAGAATTGGTCTGGGTGATGCGCTTCTTCATGCTGGTCTTCGCAGTAGTAGCGGCCTATCTAGCAATCAAAATAGAGAGCATATTTTCCTTGGCAACGCAATTTCTTGAAATCGTCTACGTTGTCCTTTTCCCGCAGTTGACAGCAGTGCTATTTGTTGATTTCACCAATGCCTACGGCTCGATCGTTGGTTACATCCTGTCTTGGGTCATCCGGGGACTAAGCGGGGAGCCAATGCTGTCTCTGCAGCCAATCATCTTCTGGCCTTTCTACGACCACGAGGCGAATGGCGGGGAAGGTGAGCAGCTATTTCCCCACAGGACTTTTTGCGTGATCGTCGCTTTCATAGCCATTATTGGGGTTTCGTATGTAACCGACTTTTTCTTCAAAAATGATATTTTACCGAAGAGATTTGATATTTGTTACAGCGTGGTCAATAACACAGACAGAACAGAAAAAAAAGAGAACACAGATTCGAGTCCGAGGGCAACGGGCACTGATAATAAGACTTTTCAGGAAAGCAATGGAGAACCGAAGAACACTGTCCTTTAACATCTTTACTGAATTAATCTCGCCGATTGAAGTCCACAACCTGGTTGAAGGAAATGGGTACTGCATTTACTGATGCGTCTACCACATGGATTATTTTATGGTCAAATAAGAAACTTCTTATTTTTAATATAATTCTGTCAATTTTTGATAAATTATTCAGGTGCCCAAGTTAACATACTGCTCCACATGTTAATATTGTGTATAAATGGAAATGAGTGTGATCAATGCTTAAAAGGATGCTTTAAGTTGCAAAAGGATTGGCTTCAGCTCCATGGTGAAATTAAAATCAACTTCAGTTTAATTGTGTATGAACACAGTAAATATATCTTTACGACTTCAACATTTGCTTTGAGTTGCAAAGGGATTGGCTTCAATTACAAGTTGAAATTAAAATCAACCTCTGTTTAACTGTGTAAAAATATAGCATATATATCTTTATGACTTCAATATTTTTACAAAAACAATATCATTTGGATATGCTTCATGGTCATGTACTGTAACTCATCATCGATACCGAATATATGGAACACCGTCTGTTTTATCAGTATAGATTGATCTCTCATGAGCATGCATTGTATGTATGTTTCGCAATATTCACACAAGATACAAATAAAACATATTTTTATTTTATCACATTCTACTTACCAGTATTAATTACAGCAGAATAATAGCCTACTGAGGCGTAGCCACACTACTGGTAGCATCATGTTTTTTCTCCATTCTCTCCGTGGTCTTCAGAAGTTTCATGTTGTATATACATTCAGAGGCAACCTCTTTCAGGACGTAAAATAGGATTTTGTCGGACGGGGACATAATAAAAATCGTTTGCATCATTTCGTTTAGCATATTTAAAATAAGAAGACGGTGGCGGAAAGGTCACACAAGCACATGCTCATACACGGTACACACACATATAAAGACAACTAAGATGGGGAAAATCTCTCGTTTTGTCTTGTTTCGCTCGGTGTACAATTTTTGGAGAAGGGTACAATGTAGAACAGGGTAGTTCGCAAGCTAGGTGAGTCCAACACCCACTGTGACCTCAAAGATCTGCCACAGTATCGTGTCACACCTCGTTATACTCCTTTATTTTTGTCCTGTGTATAGCAAATTGCACTAAAGCAAACCAACAGTATTAATATCATAATTATAATTCACATATATCAGTATTCATTTGGCCAATAAATGTGTTTCAAGCATCTTGATCTGTGCATTGTGAATTGCGTAAAAGGAAGTCAATCTTATGAATATCACAAATAAAATTAATATCATAATTCCATCGGCCAATAAACCTCTTTCAACTAATATTGTGATTGCTGAGACAGTAACATCTACCACAATAAAGGGGACTTCCCCTCGTAATTTCAAAATATAAAGCGCCGCCATTTTACGGGTTTTTCTGGAACAGGTAGGTGAATGATATTTTTCGAAATTCGGAAGTAATTTGTCAGCTACATCAATATGAACAAGAGATATACAAATAGCTATACATGGGTATCACTGTGTTGTAAACATTTGGATAAAAATCTGTTGCACGACGACAAAAAGATTGGAAGTATTTGCTTGCATTGATTAAACTGGGAAATTTGACTTTTACTTTCTGTTTGCACAAGTAAGTGTATATATGTTCGTGTGTTCATAAATATGTATGCAATCCTGAAGTTGCAACGTTTATGTGAAAAATATTAAATGACTGGGGCATCCCGACCGTTAATACAACGTATCCCACTACTAGTAAGTGTACATTAAGAATGAATAATTCAGTATTTAAGGACGGTCATACATGTAACATATTGACCCGAAGAGAAAGTGGAGACCACATCAAACCAATTGGCAAAATATAGCAATATGATGGCATCGTATATTCTTGTTACTACGGCAATCCCCTACATTTATATTTCTCTTTGTATTTGCACCAGAAGCAAGTGTCTGTAATTAACCTTTCAATAAAAAACACGATTTGGGGGGGGGGGAGGTGCACTAAGCGAGGCGTAGGTCACACGCACACACACACACACACACACACAATCGCAAATATAATTTATTGGGCACAATGGGATTTATGTGGGATGAGATTATCGGTGTTAGACAAGTTTCCCAGGGAGCTTGGCTCTTTTAAAACACGCTCCAGATGTTTCTTCCTTAATTTCAGTCAGGATGTCTCCTCTGTGTTTTCACACTTAGACTTAATTACTTTCAAGCGGCACTTGTGAGACAGAATTAGGGGGTGCAACCTAATTGGACAGTGCCACTTTGCCTCTGTAAGAGCAGCCAATCAGAGGCATATGAGTTCAGTTACTCAGGATAACGTTAATGCTCTCCCTCACTTGTCTAGTAAAATTCACAACATTCAGTAGTGCATTATTCAGGAAAGAAATTTTTAAGGTGAGTTTTGGAAAAGTTATTCAAGAACAAGAAAAACTGAGACAAGCGCCAGTGCACCATACTTTCCACAGGGGTGAGTATCTACATATTTTACTAGTACTTTCTTGAGTATTAAACTCAAATTTGGTGCAGTATTTATTGTACCTACATGTAGGTATACGGCATCTTGGCTAAGTTCACATTTAGTTCTACCTAGTCTTAGCTTGTATTTTGCTACAGTCAGGTAATCAGAATGGTAAACACAGTTTTAGCACTGGGCCACTCATACATTCGTTGGCTAGGGCAAATAGTAGATAACCCACATGAGGAATATTTCAACCTTGGTTTGATGGTACCATCCTACAGGTAGTCTGTCATGGTATAGGTGGAGGTACAGTTAGTTGGGGCCCTAAGTGTCTGAAAAATGAAATGCATGTGGTAGCTAGCTATCATCCAGATGTAGTCTACCTTCAAGTAGGAGGCAATGATCTGTCAAAAGAAAATTCAGATCCCTTAAAAACAGCGCAGGCTATAGTTCATTTTGCACAAAATTTACTTAGTTTCCCACGTGTAAGGTTAGTCATTATTGGTCAACTGCTGCCTCGTTTTATAGATGAAGGCTCTTACAATCAGGAAGTAACCCAAACAATCCTTACCCTCAAATCAGTTACACAAGGGCAGCCCAACTTGTATTTTTGGCATCACAGAGGTTTTTGGAAAGAGTCTCAAAGCCTCTATAGTAGGGATGAAGTTCATTTGAACTATTCAGGAATGCAAAAATATGCAAAAAGTGTACTTTGTGCAATAGGAAAGGGAATTTCTAGTTGCAAAAGCCAGTAGGACTTAAGTAAATGAGAGCTTCTTGGGTTATATTATTGCATCACTCACAAAAATAGTATTTAAAAGGAATAAATATTAAATAAATGGAAATAGGATATATGATATAGCCACATCATCTTTCACAGCTTAACTGACTATCTTCAGTGCATCAAACCAAACCTAAGTCACAAATATTGCCGTATTTAGTACTTGTACAATTAGAAAGGGGTAAAATCAATGCTAGGCATGGGAAATCTACAGGTATATATAGACTCTCAAGAATGTGGGTATGAAGTTTTATGGAAGTGAACATTAACTGAGCCAGTGACGAAAGTGCCTTTTGATTTGTTTATGTGTTAATTAACCTTTAACTATACTTTATTAGGAGCAATTTTCTCAAATATTTGGTTTATCTACACACATCTAGAACTGGTTTGAATTGTCCCCAACCAAGAAATTGCTCAGTTCAATTTTGCAGACAGTTTGTAGGTCTATTACTGTTTAAATAATTCATTAATGCCTTAAAAATCAACAATCTAACTAAAGATCTCTCACATTTGCCCATTGAGGCTAAGGTAGACAGAATTTATCCAGTGAAGAGTTTGTTATACAGAATAGTCTCCAGTATACAAAGTTTTCAATAGTGTTAGTGGTAACAAACTCAAGATATGAAGAGCATTTAATTTATTAGCTGTTTGAACTGTCAGTATAATGTTGCTTTATAGTGAGAATGGTCTCGAGTCTGTGTCGAGTTTGGTGGGGCTAGCTCTGTAGTAGTGCTGTCTATGCTAACAAGAGATTTTTAGGTATGCCGGATAAAAGGGCGAGTTCTGAAGTGTTGGTTATGCTCACATATGGAGATCGTCTCCAGTATTTTCTTGATGTTATGGGCGAGTTCTTCAGTAGTGTTGGCTATGCTGACATATGGAGATCGTCTCCAGTATTTTCTTGATGTTATGGGCGAGTTCTTCAGTAGTGTTGGCTTTGCTAACATGTGGAGATTGTCTTCATTATTAAAATCAGCATAATCAGTAGGACAGATCAGATGAGGTTATATATATGTGCTATAATTCAGCAGCAGACAATAGTATTTTCGTAACACCATCAGTGAAAGTGATGTCAATGCATTGAGTTTATGGATTTATAATGTATATCTACTACACATGTCAACTCCATGGACAATCCTGCTTGGCGCTTACTTTTACTTATTCCAGTAACCATGCCACCAACAAGAAGGAGTCGAGTTGGTGCCAGCGCAACATCAGTGGCCCCCCGTGCTAGACAATCGCGTACATCCAGATCAAACAACAGTCAAGAGTGTACAATACAAAATCTCGAAGCAGCCATCAATTATGACAAATTAGCAGATACAAACACTCAATGCACATAAGAATAGGCCTCATTGATGGGAAATTCGGTCCATTCGGTGTATTATTTTTAGAAGGGAGCAGAACGGGGTACATCGCAAGGTGCTACTGGTACTCACTATACTCCCTCTGTGCCACATGGGTGTAAATGTTTTTATGTTATATCAATATTGATGTATACATGTAATTCATTGGACAATAAACGCCCTTTAACTACATGTTATGCATTCCGTGAGGAAATGACGTCAGCAGCAATGAAGGGGAATTCCCTTAAAAATCCCTCTCGTCATGTCTTCAAATAGATAGTCGCCATTTGCACGGGGCGTTTAAAACTGGTAAGTTACTTATATAATTTTATACGAAATTCTAATGTACAAACGGAATGTCAACCGCATCAATTTGAACAAGAGATATAAAACTAGATTGTATTTGGGATGTCAGTGTGTTGTTAACTTTTTGGGAAATATTCCGTCCAACGACACCAAAATATTGAAAGTGCATACCTTAAGTGGGAATTTTGGTTTTGCTTTCTATTTGCATAGCTACATGTATATGCCCTTTGTGGCAAATTTGGTTTTGCTTTCGATTTGCACAGCTACATGTATATGCCCTTATAAGGTAAGTGCCCCAATGTGACCCATGACCCGTATCATATATATTATCAATGTGTTCTATTAGAAGGTCTTTCTTCTTGGCATATATAAATAAAAGAAAGCACTTAAAAAGTATGTCAACACCATAGATGCATTATATCCATTTGCTAATAAACAACCTTAAACTGCATGTTTGCATTAGTTGAGAAAATGGCGTCAACAGTAATAAAGGGGAATTCCATTAAAAATTCCCTTCGACTTTTCAAGTACAACTGTAAGATTGAGTCGCCATTTTCACCGGTCATATGCAACAGGAATTTTTTTTAGTTTATTTTGCTTATTTATGTTTTATTTTTATTTTCATGAAGGTCTGAAGTAACATGTCAACCACATTAATGTGAACAAATGACAAACAGCAAGCTGTATTTAGGATATTACTGTGTTTTTTTTTTTATAAATTTGGGCAAAAATCTGTCACAATTAGTCACCAGAGAAATATATATATATAAATAATAAAATGAAATCAAACCACTTTCACTTTTCAAAACCAGATCACTTTCAAACTACTTGGTTACTTTCTGTTTGGGCGTGAATTTAATGTTATATAAAGATATTTTAATTTCATTATTCTCTGTGCGAAATTTTATATTTACAAAAGTTTCAAAAAGAAATGATGTATTTGTGTTTCTTCAATCATAAAATACATAAAGGATCAATTTATAATAGAAAGATTCAATGTATTTAAAAGGATAATTTTAATAAATTTTGAAAAAATAGAGAAATTGATCAGACGTGTTTGAATTTAATTAGTATTCATCTCTTTCAGCAATATATATATATATATATATATATATATATATATATATATACATTGCGCTTTTTTCTTATCTCCTCATCTATTGTATGTTTAGTTGAATACATTGTGGTGTCGATCTATTTTTCACCTACTGATCATGATACTATAAACGTATATTCGTGTGTATGAGAGTGAGAGTGTGTGTGTGAGAGAGTGAGTATGCATTTACTATACTTATTTATATGTAAATTCCTGGAATGAAATATAACAATAAAATATAATATTTTAAGTACTTTGATTTAAACAATATATTACAAAATACAAGTTATAAATCAATTAAAATATTTGACTTAACCCCTCCTAATAATTGCAATAAGAGAGACAGTATTAATGTGCCCGGTCCCTCTTTGAAAACTAAACCAAAAAGTTATTTATTTATTTGTTTATTTCTATTAATATAATTAATTGGGCATTTTTATTTAAAAAATGTTCAGTTTATAGTTCTGTGATGTTTCTCTGGCAGATCTAGGAAATACCAGGGGAGGGGGCACTGAATAAAAAATACCCACGGTTCTCTCGTAGACAAGGGCAAGTTAGTATTATGGTAGCATGAGGAACCAGTGACGATGCCGTGGCTTGGATTGGTCTCCATTTGCCCATTATACTGTGTGCTGGAGAGTAAGAAGGTGGTGGACCAAAGGGGTCTTATAGTCTCAGGAGTTCCTAATGAAGGGGTGTGCCCCTCCATGAATCTAACGTTGTATTCACATTCGGATCCAGTTAATATATATATAATAAAAAGAAAAAAAAAGAACAGCTCGAAGACTATGCACAATTGTCTCAAATGAAACCATGTTAAAACAAAGACTCAAAGAGCTGGAAGGATTTCTATTAAGGAGACAACACCCAAGACAACTGATACAAAAGAGCAAAAGAGATACAGAAGAAAGACCTGAGGACCACCAAAGACAAAATTAAAAAGGAAGCCATACCGTACATATCAACATATAATCCAAAAAATCCGGAAGTACACAATGTCATAACTGGAAACTTACCTTTGGTAAAACAAGATGACAAAATGAATGAGATACCAACTGAAATGTAGATTATAAAGAGTAAGAGACAAAGTCCATCACTTAAGCAAATTTTAACAAAAGCAAAATTTGAAAACAATTCCAGGACAAATGTGGAAACCTCAACAATACGAGTACAGAAATGTGAGGTACCCAGGTGCGGCACCTGTCCACTAATTAAAGAGGGGAGCCATCTAACATTTAAAAATGGATTTACATTTAGAATTAAACACCCGTTCACCTGTACTAGCTCAAATTTAATTTATGTATTAACTTGCAGTGGATGCGGTGAGGACTTTATATATAGGACAAACCGGAGACACTCTCCGACATAGAATTACCGTTCACAGACAACAAATAAGACAACCTAAATATCAGTGCACGTCTGTGAGTGGGCACATTAGGGAATGCTCTATGAACAAAAACAAGGACTTCACGGTATTCCCATTTTATAAATTCACTAGGGAAACAACCCAAACAGAAAGGGAAATTAAAGAAAATCTATTTATCAATAAGTATAAACCTACATTAAACAAGTAACAGCATTGGTAAAAGCAACAATGAAATGCCCATTGTTAGAAACATCACATTCAGCCTTTATGACATATATCATATAGTAACCAAAATAAACAAACCCCCAGAAGATGCAATGAAACCGGTCGGGGCAAAATAGCTGCTGTTCTTTTTTTTTTCTTTTTAATATATATATAAAATAAAAAAGTGTTTTATGCCTTCGACACCACCATGACTCTGTTCTTGTTTTTGATATATGTATGCCGTGGCTCTGTCCATGTGCTGTCTGTAGATATAGCAATACAGGTATCATATCAATATCTTGCAATGATAATTGCTTCTTATTTCAGAGATACCGTTCATTACACTTCGTAAGAGTATCCACGGTATAGCAGCCAACCAGTATGGCTGGCAGGCTTATCGATGCTGCTTTACTTTGGCATACCCACGGTAAATTGTCAGCCAGTTTGGCTGACAAAAGACTTCTGAAGGCTGCATACGCTGGAGATAAAGAGAATTTGCAGGAACTGCTGATTGCCGGGGAGTGCAACACCAATTTCCGGAACAAGGTACCATCTAGTAATTTTCACGTACATCTTCGCGACGAGAGTTGTTTCTGGTTCAAACCACGGGCTCTGATTGGCTACTACACTAATGAGTAACGGGAGTGCAACAGACCGTGGAACGCACTCGAACATGACGTGCTTGTATGTCAAATACAGCACGGCCGAGTCTTTTGTTCTACGCTCCAGCTGTGGTTTAATGTCCAATTATTTAGTATAACAGTTACTGTACACACTTCAATCTTACAGTAACTGGATAATGTGATTGGTAGCACTAGTGATTTATATTTACCTCTGTACATATCTACAAAGTTTTATTTACAAATGGTCACATCACAGGTGTAAATTGACGTGACACTGCGTACTGCTGTTATCATACATGGTATCTGAATAAAAATCACTATTCCACTATATTCATAACAATTTAAACATGTGATTTGACCATTTGTATGGTCATATATACACTCTGATCGGCCCTATTTTACCACAATTCGTTAGAAGAAAATTGATTATCCTAATAACATCGGCATGAATTGTCTATGCTTTATCACATTGTTTGTATATATCCACAGCAAGGAGGGACACCAATACTCTGGGCTGCCTTTAATGGCCACACAGAATGTGTCCAGCTTCTCCTCCAACACGGGGCGGATATCAGTATAAAGGATAAAGTGAGTGTAGAATAGTCTGAATACATCAATATGACTATACGTACAATAAGAACGGCCCTTTATCACAGTTTGTCAGGAGAACATTGATTATTCTAATATCATCGGCATAACTTATTGCTGTTTAATCTCATTGTTTGTACATATCCACAGCAAGGAGGGACACCAATACTCTGGGCTGCCTGTAATGGCCACACACAATGTGTCCAGCTTCTCCTCCAACACGGGGCGGATACCAATATTCAGGTTAAGGTGAGTGTAGAATAGAATAATAACGTCAGTATGGCTAAATGTATTTCTGGGCACGAATCCATTTTAGTTCATGTTAAATGGAAATTAAATACGTTTCTTCGCCATGAATTATCTTTATTGAATCTCATTGTTTGTACATATCCACAGAATGGAAGGACACCAATACTCTGGGCTGCCTGTAATGGCCACACAGAATGTGTCCAGCTTCTCCTCCAACACGGGGCGGATGTCAGTCTTCAGGATAAGGTGAGTGTAGAATAGTCTGAATTCGTCAGTATGGCTTAATGTACATTTGGGCACTGCTCCATTTTAATTCATGTTAAATGGAAATTAAATATGTTTCTTCGCCATGAATTATCTCTATTGAATCTCATTGTTTGTACATATCCACAGAATGGAGGGACACCAATACGCTGGGCTGTCATCATGAGCCACACGGAATGTGTCCAGCTTCTCCTCCAACACTGGATGGATACATGTTTTCCGGATAATTAATCCATGTTGACAGAAAATTGAATATGCTTCTTTGGCATAAATTATCTCTGTTTATAATCATATGGTTTGCACATATCCACAGGATGGGAGTTCACCACTTCACTTGGCTGCCCAGTACGGCGACACGGAATGTGTCCAGCTTCTCCTCCAACACGGGGCGGATACCAGTATACAGGATAAGGTGAGTGTAGGATAGTCTTAATACTTCAGTATCACTTAATGTACATGTATGCCCGTCTCCATTTTAGTTTATCCTAAAAGAAAATCAAATATGCTTCTTCCTATAAATCATCTTTGTTTTATCACATTGTATGTACATATCCACAGGATGGAGTGACACCAATACTCTGGGCTGCCTGTAACGGCCACACACAATGTGTCCAGCTTCTCCTCCAACACGGGGCGGATATCAGTATTCAGGATAAGGTGAGTGTAGAGTACTCTGAATTCGTCAGTATGACTAAATGCACATATATGCACGACTCCATTTTAATTTATCTGAAAAGAAAATCAAATATGCTTCTTCGGCATAAATCGTAATTCATCTTTGTTTAATCTCATTGTTTGTACATATCCACAGGATGGAGGGACACCAATACCAGGCCTCCCCAACTACCAGACTCGGCACCAAATGATCCCGAATTCGCTGGTAGATCGGACCACACTGAGTTTTCAAGATGGGCGTCAGTACCCATTTCACAGTATCATACCCCGGAACAAATTTTTAAATGAGATGCAATACTTTCCTACCGCGCTTGGAATCACTGTAATCAAATCGCGTACTGGATAAGAAGGGTGTCGCGTCTGATACTTCGAAGTGCGCACTGACGCACACCCTGAAAACTAGGTAAGTGTGGTCCGATCTACCGGTGAATTCAGGATCATTCGGTGCCGAGTCTGGTAGTTGGGTAGGCCTGAATACTCTGTGCTGCCCGTGACGGCCACACAGAATGTGTCCAGCTTCTCCTCCAACATGGGGCGGATACAATGTACAGGGTATGTTGTCAGGATAATTAATCCATGTAGAGAGAAGTTAAAATATGCTTCTTCGGCATAAATTAGCTCTGTTTAAAATCATATGGTTTGCACATATCCACAGGATGGGAGTTCACCACTTCACTTGGCTGCCCAGTACGGCGACACAGAATGTGTCCAGCTTCTCCTCCAACACGGGGCGGATATCAATATACAGGAAAAGGTGAGTGTAGGATAGTCTTAATACTGCAGTATCGCTTAATGTACATGTATGCACGTCTCCATTTTAGTTTATCCTAAAAGAAAATCAAATATGCTTCTTCCTATAAATCATCTTTGTTTTATCACATTGTTTGTACATACCCACAGGATGGAGGGACACCAATATTCTGGGCTGCCTGTAACGGCCACACACAATGTGTCCAGCTTCTCCTCCAACACGGGGCGGATATCAGTATTCAGGTTAAGGTGAGTGTAGAAATGTCTTAACACGGTGATACTTGTCTCCTTTCACAGGTACATGTACGTACGGCTACATACATTCCGCAATTTAGAGGAAGAAATTGTGCAGGATTTACATTAACTGCTGAGCCATTACTGTTACGCACGGCCCTATTTTGACCACAGTTTGTTAGAAAATTAATTATGCTTATAACATCGTCAAGTATTATCTGTGTGTAATCACATTGTTTGTACATATCCACAGGATGGGAGGACACCACTTCATATGGCTGCCGACAAAGGTCACACACAAGGTGTCCAGCTTCTCCTCCAACACGGGGCGGATGTCAGTGTGCAGGATAAGGTCAGTGCAGAATAGTCTGAATACGCCAATATAGTTATATGAACACTTAGAACGGACCTATTTTACCACAATTCGTTAGAAGAAAATAAATTATTCCAATAACATCGGCATAAATTGTCTGAGTTTAATCACATTGTTTGTACATGTTCACAGGATGGGATTACACCACTTCATTCGGCTGCCTGGGGCAGCAATACACAATGTGTCCAGCTTCTCCTCCAACACGGGGCGGATGTCAGTGTGCAGGATAAGGTGAGTGTAGAATAGTCTCAATACGTCAGTATGGCTTAATGAACAGTTAGTCACGGCTCCATTTTAATCCATGTTAAGAGAAAATTTAATATGTTTCTTGGCCATAAATTATCGCTGCATGTTTAATCTCATTGTTTGTACATATCCACAGGATAGAGGTACACCAATACTCTGGGCTGCCTGTAATGGCCACACTGAATGTGTCCAGCTTCTCCTCCAACACGGGGCGGATACATGTTTTTCGGATAATGATCCATGTGAAATTAAAATTAAATATGCTTTTTCGGTATAAATTATCTTTGTTTATAATCACATTGTTTGCACATATCCACAGGATGGGATGACACCACTTCATATGGCTACCTACAAAGGCGACACACAAAGTGTCCAGCTTTTCCTCCAACACGGGGCGGATGTCAGTGTGCAGGATAAGGTGAGTGCAGAATAGTCTGAATACGTCAATATAGTTATATGAACACTTAGAACGGACCTATTTTACCACAATTTGTCGGAAAATTAATTATGCTGAGAACATCGGCATTGGTTATCTCTGCCATATCACATTGTTCGTACATATCCACAGGATGGAAGGACGCCAATACTCTGGGCTGCCTGTAATGGCCACACACAATGTGTCCAGCTTCTCCTCCAACACGGGGCAGATATTGGTACTCAGGATAAGGTGAGCGGAGAATAGTCTAAAAGGGTCAATATGGCTTAATGAACATTTGGGCACGGATCCATTTTTATCCACGTTAAAAAGAAAATTATATATGTTTCTTCGCCATAAATTATCGCTTTTTGATCACATTGTTTGTACATATCCACAGTTTGAAGGAACACCAGTACTCTGGGCTGCCTGTAACGCCAACACTGCTTCTCCTCCAACACGGGGGAGGGGGGATACAAGTATTCCGGATGATTATCCATGTTAAATTAAAATTAAATATGCTTTTTCCGCATAAATGATTTCTGTTTATAATCATATTGTTTGCAAATATCCACAGGATGGGAGGACACCACTACATATGGCTGCCTTCAAAGGCAAAACACAAAGTGTCCAGCTTCTCCTCGAACACGGAGCGGATACCAGTATGCAGGATGAGGTGAGTGTAGAATACTCTAAGTGCGTCAATATGGTTTAATGTTCAATTATGTCTCCTTCATCTAAGCCGATTTATGTAATAAGACGTGCCAATTAAAAGAATAGAACAAACTCAAGCATGATGTTCGAAATTTGGCTGCTGACGGCCGTATTTATTGAAGACCCATTAATAAAAAGAAATGAAGCGGATTAGTGATAAACATTGAATAGTGTTGATTAATGATGTTAATGTAATGTGTAAGCTAGAAATATCAACATCTAAATCCCTTTTTAGGGAGGGGGAGGTACACCCTTTTCCTTGCGTAATAGGTCTCACAGCGCTGAGTTTGTTACACGTAAATGAAATATATTTCTTTGGTTTAAAATGTCTTAAAATCACACTGTTTATACACATCTTCAGGATGGATGGACACCAATTCACTTGGCTGCCCGTGACGGCCACAAGGAATGTGTCCAGCTTCTGCTCCAACACGAGGCAGACACCAATATACAGGATGAGGTGAGTGTAAAATATTCTGAACAGGTCCATATGGCTAAATGAACATTAACGCGCGACACTATTATTCCACAATATGTTAGACAAAAATTGAATATTCGTTTTTTTTTTGCATGAATTATCTGTTATAATCACACATATTCACAGGATGAGTGTACACCACTTCACTGGGCTGCCCTTGACGGCCACACACAATGTGTCCAGCTTCTCCTCCAACACGGGGCGGATACCAGTATACAGAATAAGGTGGGTGCAGAATAGTCTAATGAAAGGACACTTTTATTCAGAATTCATATGAAGACAGCATGGCAGGAAAGTACCACCCCACTAAGCTACACCAAACGGCTACATTTCCCTTTTCACACAGTTCTCATAATGTTACTTGCTTTACAGGAGGGAAAAACACCAAGAATGCTGACAGATGAGAAAGGACACACCGCCATCTCAGAACTGTTGAGACGTTTAGAAATACCAGATATGCAGGTATACATGCTCTGGTGTTAACTCTTATTTAACAATGCGTTTATGATTTACTGAGTTTTTATTACATGTAGCAGTTGAAATATACTTTAATTTGCGTATACGTACATGTGCTTGTATAATTATTTTTATCAATTGTTCTTTCATCCACAGGCTGTGCTATAAACATCACATGTTCCATTAGTATGTAAATATATTCATTAAATAAGTCATAGGACCTGAAATATAGTTCAATATTTAGTCCTAGCCCAGGAGACAGAAATTTAGAGCACGTGTATCCTTAGTTCATGGACGATATTTTAATAGCGCCTTCATCTTATAAAGCAATTCTTGTACAATAACTTGATTAAGATTATCTTAACAGGGGTATGTACAGACCAGAACTTTGGAGCACCTTGCTGAAATATTAGATCTTGCTGAATATACCATCATTAACCAGTCCAACGTGAGCACGAACTTCTCTGGCGTCTTTCAGTTCCAAAAAGTTCAGGAACTGAAAGATTGGGCCACCAAGAACAATTGCAGAAATATTAGAGACCTAAGGACTGGACTACAGGCAGCAGACCTTCAACGACTTTCCAGTGAGTTACAGCCATGTTAACTATTTCGAGACACTTAAAGAGTTATATATATCCTTTTTCCAAAACAATTATTAAACTTATAAATAAGCAAATTATACAATACGCAGTTAATAAACGTGCTTAACTTAAAATTTCTCTTGTACATACAGTCACATTCTTTTACATTTCCATTTATAAAAAAAATAATTGTATTAAAAGTATAACTGTTTAGTACATGCACAAAGGCCTATTTCAGGTAGGTATTATGACATTTCACAGAAAAACTTACTAGCCAATATTGTAACATGACAGTTATTAAGAGTGTTTTATTGCATGATCTCACTGCAACAGCTGACGGTGATCTTTTAGAGATGTGTATACTAATACATTGCACGGTATATCATTTTGTTGTACATGTAACTCACATGTAAGCGTACATGTTCATGTATCTGTATCGTAGTTGGTGGTCTTACTGGACTGTCGAATAAATATTTTGGTCAAGATGAATCTAGAAAAGCAGAGGCGAACTAGTACTGTGTATGGCTGCATAAAGGGTGTGCACATTTGCTTTTATTGTTTCTAATTATGCCATGCAAACAAAATTGACTAAGTGTGTGTGTGTGTGTCGCAGTCAGACGTTATACCGCATATAATGATGACTTGTGCAAAATCATCAATGTACTCTCTTTTTTTATTTTCGTGTCCTTTAAAAACAAACCTCCCTTACAGGTGCGGCAGTGGAATATTATGCTGGGGTGGTGGCGAAAATTTCAAACTTTACTTCTGATGAATTTAAAGGATTCTATTGAACGCTGGTCACTGCAAAGCACATGTACACGCCATGTTCGACGGCCACTTACCAGGCAGATACTAGGTCAGTGCAGTTTTGAATCTTGATGCTTGAACTAGAATTACCTAGATTATTTTTATTCAACTAAATTTGAATGAATGGAATTCTGATGTATAATAATATTCAACCTTTTCATTTATTTCAAACACATTATATTTTTTTCAATACATTCAATGTAAAACACAACCTAATAGCCAATACCCTGACTTGCTTTGTATGCATATACTCCTATGCAAGTCTGTGTATACTGCATGAGTGTACCCGGTATACGTGTGTCTAACTGCATTTGTGTATATAGAAGTATATGTGAAAATGTATGTTATCATTCTCAGTCAAGACTTTACATCCTCAGTGTGCCTAAGGATCATTACCTCTACGACGCGTTCATTGCGCACAGCGATGAGGATGAAGCAACGATAGAACCTGTTCTGGACCAGCTTAAGGAACGTGGAGTTCATTATTGGTACTCGAAAGAAGACCTCATTCCTGGAACGTATGTGATATCTTCCATTATCGAGGCGATCCTTGCATCTAAGCATACCGTAGCGTTCGTTTCCAGGAGTTATGTCCAGAGTCAGTGGTGTCAACTCGAGCTACAGTATGCCATTCAAGAAGCTGTAAACTCGAAACGAAATGTCCTCATTCCGGTTGTAATGAACGTGTCACCTAAGGAAATTCCCACCGCATTAAATGTCATGGCATGCGTCCGTTTCGATGACGAAAATTTAATTCTCAAGATTTTACAAGCCATCAAAGGTATTCGTGGCTTTGATACTTGTATGTATAATTGCGTAATGGTTTACATTTTACGTATAATAGATTGACACGTTTTTATACGCTTGTAAGTTTATTTCTTCTCGTAGATAATACATGAAAATGAATGGAAATCGCTGTATTTATGCAGTTCCATTCGATCACAAATACTTGTATTTCATTACACTATATACTTCTATAAACCCTAAATTTACACCCAGGATTATTTTGGAAATACATGTTCTTTTCTTCCTTTAAAACAGGACCGAAAAACACACACACGTTTGGTGAACTTCAAGACAAGATACAGGATTTGCAAGATGAGTTGCGGCAGGTGATATTTAATCGTCGTTCACAGACCCAATCAGTAGATGTCACTCAGTCGTCTTAATCCAGTGTCTTTGGCACGAGACGTGAATGTGGAACAAGGGGGGGATGCATTCTTGTACCGTACCTGCGTGTACATCCTTGGCATACACTTTATATACTTTTACCGATGTGACTTGGCAGACACCGAATTAATGTTAACTTAATGGTTGGCGGTTTGTTTAAGAAATCATTGAAGCTATAAACCTATATGAGGCAGTATAATATTACTGATTGGGAAAATTCACCACTCTCCACAATCAACAAGGCATACCGTATCTTAAACTGTTTACAAAATTCCAATCCATAAACCACTGTTACTTGAAGTTCAAAGTTTCTTATCATTTAGCCACTTCTGTAAACAAAGTGGACGTTGACGAATAAAAATTAAAGATTTCTTGAAAACAGATTTGATTATTCGTATAATCTCAACTGTTTACGAAAGGATTTTGATTATAAATGCTGAAATGTGTATTTTTTATTTTTGACATGTGAAAATGTAAAGCTCAGTGTATGCTTTCAATATAATCATAAGTTCTAAATTACGGCTTTCACATATCGACAGTGCAGCATTGCAGATTTCGTACTTAGTATATATTCTGTATGCGTTTAGAGCATACGCTTATTATGTTGTAAAGTATAGACTTGATTCCTAAAAACATGTATGACATGTCATTATCCTGAACAAAGCGTCAAATTTTAAATACATAGTTTTGTTACATGTGCCATAATCTAACTATTATTTCCTAATGATAGAAGATAGTCAGAAATTTTTAAATTTTTGTTTGTTGTCGGTAACTGCTGCCCTGAGTGTCAGGGCACTGTAAAGCTAACTTGCAAACTAGTCATACCTTTTCATGGGATAGCTTTACAGTGGTCCTGAGGAACAGCGGCAATGTTGAGTATCCGTCAATCAGGAAGAGCTGCTCCGCAGTGAATCTGCTGTTGAATGTAATTAGTCAAATATGAAACGTAAAACGGGTTTAATTTTTGCTTTATTTAATTTTATTTACTGTATTTAAGATGTAAATTAAAAAATAAATAAGATATTTTTAAAAGAAAAAGATATACCTTGCTTTTGTATTTTTCTTTTACTTATCAAAAGACATGTGCTCCTGGAAATTGCCGCGTACCAAGTTACAGTTACGTTGTATCTCCGATGCCACTGAAAGGACTGTGCAATGGCTACACCAAAAATCAGTTTTTAAAGAAGAAAGTTGCTTGTATTGTGGCACTGACTTTCGATTGCAAGATATTCTTAGTTCTAGCTTCAAAATTCGCGTCAGCCACTTTGCTTCTTGATTCGTCAAAACAAGATAACGTCAGCGCAAGGCGTGAAAGGCAGCTCCAGGCTGGACAGGGCTGTGACGTACGAGACTTGTGACTTCAAATATGGAGCTCCAGGCGGAACACAGCCATGACTTACGAGACTTGTGACTTTCAAATATGGAAGCGCCCCAGGCAAAATTTTGCCGAACACACCCCCAATCTGCCGCAAGTTTCTAGTCAGTATTGTTGATATTTGTTATATATGAAATCACGATCGAGCTGGCAATACTGAAATCTAGAACCTAGGGTAACGGCAGACGGATCCAGAATTTAGCCGTGGGTGTTCTTGTTGAGGAGAGGGGTGGGGCTCAAGGAAAGTTGTGTTTGCTTAATGGATGTTTAAATCGTTTAGTTTTTATTTCTTTTGTGTCGAAGCAGAGAAGTATATAGAGTTGCTGTAGACACATTGTAGTTGTCCTTTGATTAAGATTGCAAATATTTTATCTTGCATATTTATTGCCCCTGGACCAGTCATCACACAAGAATGGGTACCATATGGGTCCAATATGTGGATCGTATGGGCTGTGATGTGGGTCCCAGATGGATTTGTCCATGCGCTGAACGTGGGTCGCATGTTGGCTCGCCCGGGTGGCCTAAAATAAAGGTCCCACATTGGATTTACATGGTCCGACTGGGGCTAATGCAGTTTTTTTTTTCTGATACATGTAGTGACCCATGAAATGGGCTAGCCCATATGTGGGTTCCACCAGAGACCCAGATAAGACCGCGGAGTTTAACCTTTGCCCAGATCTGCCCAATAAGCCCACCGCTCACCTACTCATCTGGGCCCCACATACATGTATATATGCATTCCGGCTAGGGTACTTCACTGCAGTCAATAATGTAGCGCTTGTGAGCAAGTTTGTGAAAATGTTAATCAATAACTTTTGATTTCGAAATTCCTTTCTGTTGTGACTCTGAAATACTCGTCTGATAGTACCAGATCATCCCGTATCTATAATAATCCTGTAATAATTATTGTATGTGAGGCACAAGGATGCAGTCCAATTCGTTGGTTCCATTCCTGTCGCTTGCTTTGATGTTTGATGGTTTCCAAAGCTAAGCAGGTATTCGACGTTGAAATATAAAATTATCCTGTATCTCAGCGCCCTGGTTCCCCACATTTAATATTCTTCACGTCCTTGTCTCTCATGACATATCACAAGACCTTAAAGGGATGATAACTATTCGTATGAGATCTACATTGTATATTTCACAATGAAAACGTCGTGAACAACTCATAGAAATATAATACATTCTGTTGTACAAGAAAAACGGCAGTTATAGCTATTATTCTGATATCTGAGATTGCCTTTAGATCACGTGACCTCCATTGATGGATATATTCTTAAGAGATTATAACTAAAAAGCAAACTTTTTAGAAAAAAACAAAACAAAACAGGGACTAACTTTGAATGTAAAAATGGATTCATTAACGATTGGTAAGTAAGGGAAAATTGATGTTTACTCCAGGAAAATTCTTTTTTGGCCAACACGAAGAGTTATTATTCCTTTAAGTTGATGTACCAGTATACCGGTGTAACGTGACAGAGTCCCCCATTGATAGAGAGTCCGCACCCCATTCATTTGTACAGGCAAACCTCGCCCTAGATTTTGACCCACTTAGATCAGACTAACTCTAACCATTTTTTACTGAATGGAGGACGAATTTTCTGTTACATGGACCCTCAGTTCCGTTACACCGGTTGGTTAATTTAATTTAGTTGTTTAATCGTATACAAATGCATGTATATAGTACTGTTTTTGCTTTGTGTACTTAGAATAAAATGAGTTGAAATAAAGAAAAAAACGGTTTGTGCAAATTTCAGATAAACAGAAACTAGGTCTTATCACTGTGTGTAAATGGTAGCCACAATATGCAAATATCACTACATTTTAAATCAAATGGTAAAATGCTAACTTATGTCAAGAAATAAAGAGTGTTACGAAGTACAACCATAATGTTGCCTAGTGTTATAATCTGTTCGACCTTTCCTTGCTGCTACATGTACCATCACCGGGGCATTCCTTCTGACAAGATTCTCAGAGTTAGGTAGAGTAGGATTCAAAAATGGGTGAAATTATCTGAGTCAGTTCATATTCATCGGTTGGACCACAAGATGGCTAGTCCCGGGAACTGTATGTCCACTGATTCTTAATTTGATTTTTCTCTTTTCAAAAAACGTCCCAGTATAAATGCAAAATAATCATAAATGCACGTAAATTGGTTATTATCAACGAAATTATTTACTAAGATTGTTTTTGATTAATATTTTGAAGTTTTTGAAAAAAATGTGACTACTTACTAGTAACTTATAATTCCATTTACTCTAAAAGCAAAAGGCAAAAAGCAAAAGAGTTAAAAACTGAAATCGTTTCAGAAGAGCTATCATTCCTAAGCGAATTTTGTTCCTTTTTTGACCTATGAGGCATGGCATTGCGCCCCAACATCAAAGGCCCTACTAGTACTAGTTCTAATTTTTCCACAATATTCACAAAAGTCACTAATCTTATCTCGATCACCACATTTTTACACGTAATGCGCCATGTTCTTTCTCCGTTCTCTCCATGGTCTCCAGAAGTGTGCAGGTGTTATGACCAGTGGTTAAACCTATTAGAGAGTAAAGTAAACGACAGAACTGATGTTAAAACGTTGTGTCGCTGGCGGAGTGGGGACAAGGATGGAGCGCATTTAAATTACATGTAGTACATGGTGGCACTTTTATTATAATGTTGGAGACATGGATGGGGGTATTCTTGTTTTTGTCTTGTTTCACTTGGTGGTCTGGTTCTGAAAGGGGGGAAATGGGGTACCTACATGTAGCAAGATAAGGATCGGAGGGAGCCTTTGATCCAGTGTTCCCCGCGATCCGCCACTATATCGTGCCATCGATATGACATTTTTGGGGGGATCAAAAGGAGTCGTATTGATCCAACATGAAGACTATGCGGTAGATTGCACGAGGCTTATACTTTACTCGGGGCAGGCTGAATAACCTGAACTGGTCATGTAGTGTACTTTTTGTCGGACTGGATCTTTGTACCCGTTTATTGCTACTTACAATAGTAAATATATTGATTGAATAGGAACTGTATCGACGAACGTACCTGGTATTATTCGGATTGTTATTAAAGGTGGCATTGTGTGAGGTTAATTGGTGGGGAGGAGGCGAGTTGTTGATTGATTTTTTAATGAATTTATAATTTGCAAAGAGATGTAGGGCCCTGGAATTAGATAGGTAATGGAAAGGAGGTATTGACTTGTAATAGACTCGGGAGAAAGCAGGAAGGATGCCACGCTTTTTATAGTAAGGCTCCGATGATGTATAGGAGGTAGGTAATAGGGCGTTTTTGGTCGGCCATCTTTTCATTTTCTTCAATTGGCAAAAGCCAGAATTCAACTTCAACACGAACTATGTCAAAGAATTTTTTTGTGAGCCTAGGCTATAAATTGGGGTATTTATATTTACTTTTTATGAAAGAAAGTTACAAAAGTCGGTGATTCGTGACCTGAAGTCGTATTTCATGCATTCTTATGATATTATGTTTTGATAACAGTAATTTGATTTTTTAGGGCGTGCAGATTAGTTCCCCCCCCACCCCATTGGCGGCTACTCGTTTAAGGACGGTTAGTGATTTCTGAGTTCTATTCGCTATTCGAGAAATGTGAGGATAAGGTGCTGGTAGCACAGCTAGGATTCAATTGACTGTTAATGCACAAAAATTAGCGCACTGTTTGATAAACAAATGTCGAAATTGACAAAACTGGTCTGTGTTTACCAACTGGTTGATTTCATTAATTTGCTTTAATTTCTGGTTTCGTTTTGAGGAAGTATTAAAAGGTAAACCCATTGGACTTTGCTTACATTTTATTTTGCCTTCATTATAAGGTGATTTCCTTTGAATCTATTGTGTTACAGGTATATGTGGCCCCAAGAGAATTCACCAACTCTCTCCCCCTCTAAATTAAATTAAATGCTCCATTTGGCAGATTGAAAATGATATTGCAAAATGTTTTGTCTTTTGTTCGACAATTAGATCCCTCTCTCTCTCTTAAATACAGTTATTAGTAATGCATTTAATAATAATTATGAGCAGTTTGTAAGTACTTGTTCCACGGGCAATTTTATTTTCATGTTTTAATTGTGTGTCCTATTAAGATCAAAGTATGCAAACTTGTATGTGCTTTGCAAGGAGGAAATACAACATTTGCTAATCAATCCACTGCTTTGTCCAAGGCTTTTTGTGTTACGGGACTTTTTCTTACTGTTATTGAACTGGCATTTTTCCAATCTGCAGTTAGTTAACAAGTCATTTCAGTCCCAGTGAGACGACATTAAGGGTAGAAGAAGTAAGATTCCAAGTTATCTTATATCTGAGCTGAGTCTTAAGACAAGAGGGACATTTCCGGGTAAGTTCGTCAAGGATTATTTATTTTTACCCTGTGACTTTTATCTTCTGTTTCGCAAGGTGCTACTGGAACTCACTATACCCTCTCTGTGCCCCATGGTCCGCTGGGGGCCGTAGCAATAGTCCGAAGGTTCAATAGTCCGAAGGTTCATTGGTCCGAATATTCACTATAGAACCTTCGGACCAATGAACCCTTGATTAAAAAATCGATGAAAATGTTACCACTTTTCGGACCAATGAACCTTCGGACCAATGAACCTTCGGACTATCGAGACGCCCCCGTCCGCTGCTGTATTGATATTTCGTGGTATCAATATGTTCAGTTCATCACAGGCCTGTATTCCTGGCATGTGAATGGGGTACTGGGGACTTGTGAAGGTTGGGGCGTGCTATTCGCTGTACTAGTATGTTCCTATTTGTTCTATGTGGAGGTCTATGTTCTTGACATATGTACAGCAAATAGTATCTAAACAAATCAAGCTTATATAAACCATACAGGCATCATGATGCTTAATTCATTGGAAAATACACGCCTTTTAACTAAATGTTTGCGTTCAGTGGGGAAATGACGTCAGCAGTAGTAAAGGGAAATTCCCTTAAAAACCCTCTCGTCTTTTCTTCTAAAAGAGAGTAGCCATTTGCAATGGGTGTTTAAAACTGGTAAGTTACTGATAATTTTCACGAAATCTGTAAAATGCATGCGAAATATTGACCGCATCAATTTGAACAAGAAACATAAAGTCAGTTGTATTTGGGCTGTCATGTGTATTTAACATTAGGGGGAAAAATCCCACCCCACGACACCAAAATATTGGAAGTGTACTGGTATGTCTTTAGTGGGAATTTTGGTTTCACTTTCTCTTTGCACAAGTGCATGTATATACTGTATTTATAGGTGAAAGAACCCGGGTTTAAAATTCAAGTAACAATATTAATAAGGAAAATATTAAATGATCGTAGTAATACCCACGTACCGGTACATACAACGTATATTATATATATAATAATACTAAGGTAAGTTAGAACCCACTGTACCCACTGTACCCCAAATGTGTCCCTGTGGTATAACATCAATATTTATGCCTACTTCATCTCAGTGTACCACAAACTTTTATAGTCTCATTCATTGCAAGAAAGAAGGCAACAAGGAATATTGATCGTTCGTGATTTGGCCAAACAAGGCCGCTCTTATTATATAACCCCTCTATCCTAATCGTTTTAACAATAATAACAATGTAGCAAATTGTTGCCTGTATTAAATGTTATGGCCTTAGGGATAAAAGTTATATATCAAATATTCAATAAGACTCATCATCCTAAAAATTGTGATGCGACGAGTCAGAAAAAGTTATTATTTACCAACAATTTTGCTCAAATTTCATTTGTGGGGTTGCAAAGAGGTAAAATGAAATTTTTGTAACTGAAGATTTCAGTTGAAGATTTGAGATAACTTGTAGCTTAATTGTATCATGCACGTGAACAGAATGAATCAAGCAAAATGAGGCCAGGCAGAGATGCCCTATGGTATAAGTAGCAACATGTGCCTCAATGGAGACTACCCCTCTAGGGTACAATTGAGCATGTGCAGAATGCACATGTGCGTAATTAAGCTCTGGAGATTGTTGTCGCCATAAAATGTCGTTTGACTACGCCAAACTTTCCTTTTGCAATGATCACTGCGTCTCTTTTCAGAGATACCGTTCATTACACTTCGTAAGAGAATCCACAGTATAGCAGCCAGCCAGTATGGCTGACAGGTTTACCGATTGGCGTCCCTACGGTTTAGATCCAGCCAGTCTGGCTGACGAAGGGCTTCTCGAGGCTGCAGAGGATGGAGATATAGAGAGTTTACAGGAACTGCTGACTGTCGGGGAGTGCGACATCAATTTCCAGAGCGAGGTACCAACGTTAATTACGCCGCCACTAGTCACATCGTTTGACAATTAGTTAGTATTACAGTTACGGTAGACACTAAGACTTCGTTCACATGAAAAGTCTATTTTCTAAAAAAAATCTATTTTCTATTCGCGGTATCTTGTGATCACGGTCTGTGCCCTCAATACCACGCGGCGTAATTACTTGCAGCGCGAGCCAGTTACTTCCAACCCAGCAGACAAACGACATTGATTCACCGTCGAATCAACGTTAATTTTGGTGGATCAACGTTGAATCAACGTAGAATCAATGTCGTTTGCCTGCTGGGAAAGCTTTATTTAATTCTCGACTGCGCTCGGAGTGATCACAAGATACCGCGATTAGAAACTAGATTTCTAGAAAATAGATTTTTCATATGAACGGTCCCTAAAATTACTGACAGCGCGACCCAGTTACTTCAAAATCCTCGGCTGGGCTCGGAGTGATCACAGGATACCGCGAATAGAAAATAGATTTTTTATATGAACAGTCCCTAAAATCTTAATGCAATAGTTGCTAACGTCACAAGGTTCGGGTCTTTAACTAAGTAAATGTCTCACTCCTTTCTATTCCCTTCCTCTAATTACTACTGCGCGGAATTTTTATGATACTAGTTACTTTAAACAAAATGCACACATAGATAATGGTACCGGGTACAAGCACTAATTATTCAGTAAACCTCAGTACATATCTACAAAGATTTGAGGCGAATTCTGTAACTAGCTGTATCGTAAAGCATTTTAATGAACTGTAGATATTTTCACCCCATCCTGAACAAAAAAATGTGGCAAAACTTGACAGCGACAACATGGCGGTATGTTTACCACGAATTACTAGGAAAAAACGTGAGAGGTTTACCTTTAATGCTGAATGATCTTCTTGATTTGTAAATAGTAAGTTTAAACCATGCACAAAACTTCAACATGCATTTTTAATTTTAAATGTAAGTCACATTATTGGTACATATATCCACAGGAAGGGAGAACACCACTTCACTTGGCTGCCTTTAAAGGTCACACACAATGTGTCCAGCTTCTCCTTCAACACGGAGCAGACACCAATATACAGTGTAAGGTTAGTGTAGAATGGTCTGAACGCAACGACATAATTATGTTTCCTTTCGCAGCTACGTACAACTACATGCATTCCGCAATTTAGGTAAAGATTGTACGAGATTTATATTTACTGCTGAGTATTTATATGTTTTAATCTATAACCGATTTAGGCTATTTAAAAGCTAGTATGGGGATAAACATATATTTTGCCATTTGAATCATCATGTTTAATCAAATTGATTTTACAAATCCATAGCCTGAATTCGGTTACATCATGTGGCGCGACGCCCCAAAAAATGCCGTGCATCTACAGGATGGCAGTACACCTCTTCACTGGGCTGCCCTTGGCAGTGGCACACAATGTGTCCAGCTTCTCCTTCAACACGGGGCAGATACCAGTATACAGGATATGGTGAGTGCAGAATAAACTGAGTACGTCAGTATGGCTATAAGTACACTTAAAACTTTCCCATTTCACTTCAGTTTGTTTAAAGTAAAAAGAAATATGCTCCATCGTCAAGAATTATTATCGTTTAATCACATACCGTGTATCCACAGGGTGGAAGTACACCACTTCACATAGCAGCTCGTTTCGGTAACACACAATGTGTCCAGCTTTTCCTCCAACACGGGGCGGATACCAATATACAGGATAAGGTGAGCGTAGACTAGTCTGAGTACGTCAGTATGGCTATAAGTACACTTAAATCTTTCCCCTTTCACTTCAGTTTGTTGAAAGTAAACAAGAAATATGCTCCATCGTCAAGAATTATTTTCGTTTAATTACATACCGTGTATCCACAGTATGGAAGGACACCACTTCACATGGCAGCTCGTTTCGGTAACACACAATGTGTCCAGCTTCTCCTCCAACACGGGGCGGATACCAATATACAGGATAAGGTGAGCGTAGACTAGTCTGAGTACGTCAGTATGGCTATAAGTACACTTAAAACTTCCTCATTTCACTACAGTTTGTTGGAAGAAAAGTGAAATCTGCTCCATCGTCAAGAATTATTTCCGTTTAATGGCATATCCACAGGGTGGAAGTACACCACTTCACTTGGAAGCTCGTTTCGGCAACACACAATGTGTCCAGCTTTTCCTCCAACACGGTACGGATACCAGTATACAGGATGAGGTGAGTGTAGAATAGTCTGAATTCGTCAATATTGCTATAAATACACTTACATGTAGTTCGACCCAATTTTAACACCATCTGTTATAATAAAATGAATTTGCTTCTTCAATATAAATAGTCTAAATACGTCGAACTCTTAAAACTGTCCCTTTCACCATGATTGGTCGGAAGAAAAATTATTATTTAAATTATTATTAAGTATGAAGTATCGGCATGAACTATCTTTGTTTAATCAGATGGTCTGTATATATCCACAGGACGGGAAAACACCACTTCACTTGGCTGCCCTTGAAGGCCAGACTCTATGTGTCCAGCTTCTCCTCCAACACGGGGCGGATACCAATATACATGATCAGGTGAGTGTAGAATAGTTTAAATACGTCAGTTCGGTTATATGTACTCTTAAAACTCTCCCTTTCACCAGAATTTGTTAGAAGAAAATGAAATATGTTTCATCTTTATGGACAATTTGTCTTTAATCACATCGTTTGTACATATCTACAGGGTGGGAATACACCACTTCACTGGGCTGCCCGTGACGGCCGCACACAATGTGTCCAGCTTCTCCTCCAACACGGGGCGGATACCAATATAGAGGATAAGGTTAGCGTATAAAAGTCTGATTGCGTCAGTATGGTTATAAGTACACTTACAACGGTCCTATTTTACGACAGTTTGTTAGAAGAAATTAATTATGCTATGAACATGGTCTTTAATTATGTCTGTCTTATCACATTATTTGTACATGTACATATCTACAGGGTGGGAATACACCACTTCACTGGGCTGCCCGTGACGGCCGCACGCAATGTGTCCAGCTTCTCCTCCTACACGGGGCGGATACCAGTATACAGAATAAGGTGAGTGTACATGTACTGTAGAATAGTCTGAGCACGTCAATATGGCTATATGTACACTTAGAACGGCCCTATTTACCACAATTTGCTCGGAAAAATAAATTATGCCAAGAATATCGCCAGGTATTATTTCTATTTAATCACATTGGTTGTGCATATCCACAGAATGGATGGACACCACTTCACACGGCTGCCGTTTTCGGCCACGCGGAATGGGTCCAGCTTCTCCTCCAACACGGGGCAGATACCAGTATACAGGATAAGGTGAGTGTAAAATAGTCTATGTTCGTCAATATTACTATATGTACACTTAGAACGGCCGTATTTCTCCACAATCTGTTAGAAGATAATAAAATATGTTTCCTTGGCATATTTTTTCTCTGTTAATTCATATTGTTTGTACATATCCACAGTATGGATGGACACCACTTCACCAGGCTGTCCGTTTCGACAACACAGAATGTGTCCGGCTTCTCCTCAAACACGGGGCGGATGCAAGTATACAGGATGAGGTGGGTGTACTAGTAGAATAGTCTGAATAGAATAGTCTGAAGACAACAATATGGAAATATGTACACTTAAAACGGCCCAATTTAACCACTGTTTATTAGAAGAAAAATTATTTATGGTAACAACGTCGGAATGAATTATCTCCGTTGAATCACATCGTTTGTACATATCCACAGAAAGGGAATACACCACTTCACTTGGCTGTCCGTGACAACCGCACACAATGTGTCAAGCTTCTCCTTCAACACAAGGCGGATACCAGTATACAGGATGAGGTGCGTGTAGAATTGGCTGTGTACGTCAATAGCTATTTGTTCACTTAGAACGACCCAATTTACCACAGTTTGTTAGAGGAAAATCAGTTATGCTAAGAACATCGTCTTGAATCATCTCTGTTTAATCACATTGTATATATCCACAGAGGACGTTTACACCTCTTCACTTGGCTGCCTGGGACGGCCATACAGAATGTGTCCAGCTTCTCCTCCAACACGGGGCGGATACCAGTATACAGAATAAGGTGCGTGTAGAATAGTCAAAATACGTCACTTATCTGTAGTGAATAGGCTAAATACTGTACACTAACCTGTAAAACGATCTCGTTTTAGAACAATCTGTAAAAAGAAAACGAAATTTGCTTTTTCGATATTATTTATCTCTGATTAAAGATATATATACGAACCGAGCTGTAGTAGTGTCGTATACGACTCAAATAATTTCAACATACCAAGGGATAAATTGAATAGACCACTCAATCAGCCATAAAAGAGCTTTAGACTACTCCTTGCTTCAATTTTTTGGTCGGAAATTTAACCTACTTTCGTGACCTACTTTACTGCCCCATTGACATAGAATGCTAGCAGAAAAATCGGTTCAAACATCATTTTCGGGTAAAATTAAACAATGCCTTTAGGTAATTCTCTTATTTATACTACTTGAAACTATATGCTGGCATTTGGTTGGTTTTTGTGGCAAAAAATGACTTCAAATGCATCATTATATTGTTTGTACATATCTACAGCATGGAAAAACACCACTTCACAGGGCTGCCCTTGGCAGTCGCACACAATGTTTCCAGCTTCTCCTCCAACACAGGGCGGATACCAGTATGCAGGATAAGGTGAGTGTAGAACAGTCTGAGTACGTCAATATGGTTAAGTACAATAACGCATGACCCTTTTTACCACAATTTGTTCGAAGAAAATTAAATATATATGCTAAGAGCATCGGTATGAATTATCTTTGTTCAATCACACGGTCTGTATATATCCACAGGAAGGGAGTACACTACTTCACCTGGCTGCCTTTAAAGGCCACACACAATGTGTCCGGCATCTCCACCAACATGGGGCACTTACGAACGGCTTTTTCGTACCCTATTTTGTAACAAAAAATTCATTATGCCAAGAACATCGGCATAAATTATCTTTGTTTAATGACATTGTTTTTACGTATTCACAGGAAGGGCATACACCATTTCATTTGGCTGCCCGTGACGGCCACACGCAAATTGTCCAGCTTTTACTCCAACACGGGGCAGATACCAGCATACAGGATAAGGTGCGTGTAGAAAAGCCTAAACACCTCAAAATGGCTATATGTACACATGTAACAACTATTTTTTACCACATTTGTCAGAAGAAAATTAATTATGCTAGGAACATCGTCAAGAATTATCTCTGCATGTTTAATCACATTATTTGTACATATTTACAGGACGGGAAAACACCACTTCACTTGGCTGCCTTTAAAGGCCAGACACAATGTGTCCAGCTTCTCCTCCAACACGGGGCGGATACCAATATACATGATCAGGTGAGTGTAGAATAGTTTAAATACGTCAGTTCGGTTATATGTACTCTTAAAACTCTCCCTTTCACCAGAATTTGTTAGAAGAAAATGAAATATGTTTCATCTTTATGGACAATTTGTCTTTCGACTCCGTCTTTCGTCTGCCATTCGAGGCCACGCACAGTTTGTCCACCTTCTCTTTCAACACGGGGCAGATGCATGTCTATAGGATGAGGTAAGTGTAGAATAGTTTGAATGCGTCAATATGGCTATATGTACACTAAGAATGCACAATTTACCAAAATCTGTTAGAAGGAAATACTGCTTACAACGTCGACATGAATTATTTTTATTTGTTTAATCAGTGTTTTTCACATCTTCAGTGCGATCGTACACCACTTTTCTTGGCTGCCTTGACAGGCAACACGAAATCTGTCCAGCTTCTCCTCCAACACGGGGCGGATATCAGTAGACAGGATAAGGTGAGTGTAGAACAGTCTGATACGTTCATATGGCTATATGTGCAATTGAAACGGCCCAACTTATCAAAGTATGTTATGAAAAATTAATAATGCTACGAACACCGCCCAGAATTTGCTTCTGCTTAATCACATTTTTGTACATATCCTTAGTTCGGGACTTCACTACTTACCGCGGCTGTCTGCTTTGGCAACACACCTTGTGTCCAGCTTCTCCTCCAACACGGGGCGGATACCAGTATACAGGATGAGGTGAGTGTAGAATAGTCTGAATACGTCAATATGGCTACATGTGTACTTAGAACGGCCTCATTATACATGTACCACATTCCTTTAGGAGAAAACGAAATTTGCTGCTTTGGCATATATTATCCCTGTTTAATCACATTGTTTGTACATATCCACAGAATGGGTATACACCACTTCACCTTGCTGCCCGTGACGGCTATACAGAATGTGTCCAGCTTCTCCTCCAACACGGGGCAGATGCCAGTATACAGAATAATGTGAGTGTAGAATAGTCTGAATACGTCAATATAGCTATAAGTTTAATTACATGTAGAACGACCCCATTTTAGTGAATGGAGAGGAATTTGCCTACAATTGTAATCACAATTCATATCAAGACAACACGACAGGAAAACACCATTCCACTAGACTGCACTTTTAAAACGGCTCTTTCCCTTTCATACAGTTCCTATTATTTTCCCTGCCATTACAGGAGAAAAATACACCTAGAATGCTGGCAGAGAAGGAAAAACACACCGCCATAGCAGAACAGTTGAGACGTTTAGAAATACCAGATATACAGGTATCCATGCAATGGTGTTAACTCTTATTTAACAGTGCGATTATGATTTACTGAGTTTTTATTAGCAGTTAATTTTTTTTTAATTCGCTTATAATACATATATGTACATTTTTAGCAATTTTTCTTTCATCCACATGTAGTGCTATAAACATCACGTGTTTCATTAGTTTGTTTATACAGACTTGACATTTAATATGGAATATTTCAGTTTTAAAGGTATACCTAGGTCAAAATACGTTCTTTTTTTAAAAAAAATCAGATTTCATATAAGACATCTGTCTGGAGAAGTGTGAAGTCAGGTGTGTCGCTGCCAATTAACTGATTACCAAGTCTGTTGCACTGCTGCCTTGTGTAATATGCAGTGATTTAATTGGGCAGTGCTCCTTTGGGCTAGTCAAAGCTTGGCTTTGGCGAAGGATGGTTCTGTCAATAAAGTATCCCTATGTCGGCAAATACTGCATAGACGAATTTGAAATTTTGCATACAAGCGGTCGGTTTTGCAGTGCGTAAAATGAGTTAAGCAGCGTTTTACAAAACTGTTAAGCTGTGCCAGAATGGCGCGAAAAACACAGACATTGCCAGACAGATTATTGTGTCAAACGGAACGGTCTACACAGTTTTATAGAGTTATGCTCAGTTTGAGGCACTACACAGAGACCAAGCCCAATGCATCGACGTCTTACCACCAGGGTATAGGACTCACTGTCCTTCAGGATATGCTGCTGCAATTAAACCAATACCACCCAGTCCGTTTTAAATGAGGGACAAATTGTAAGAGGCTAGGGTCATTGACAGTGTCAGTATTTGGAGTGGATACCACATTGGTGCCAAAACACCAATGGTAGTCATCGATGAAAACCTTAACCAGATCAAATAAAGAAATAATCTGGGAACCACTTGACTATTATTTGATAGGGGGCACCTTAGGAACAATTTTAGGTTGCAGGGCGAAGTTGCCGGTTCACACAGAGCACATTTAATAGCAGATAACTTACAGAACCAAGGGAATGAGTAGCTACCTTGGTCATCAAAATCGCCATATTTGAACCACATAGACAATATGTGGGTAGGTCATTACTCGCCGAATCAACGGCCTGCATGTCCTACATCAAAACTGAGCCAAATTGGACAAGTTTTAACCGTATTCTGGAATTTTATTCCAGATTAAACTCTAAAAAGCCTATCATAAGAAATGCCTTGCGGCTTGAAAGCTCTGGTAGCAGCAAGATGAGGTCAAGCGTAACAGCGACTGTTGCTGTGACTAGACACTGACATGGGGGGCCTTTGTGGGGCGTGTAACTCTTTTAAAGACAATAATTAGGAAAATATGGAGATCCAAAATATCGCTTTCAATGGTTGTCGTATGACTTAAAATAGGCAATGTATTTTTGTTTGCTTCACTGACGAATTCAATTAATAAACTGATGTCACAGTGACATCGAAGAGATTATCAAAAGTTATTAAAACACGATTTTAATCCTTATTTTCATTTATCAGTCAGCAAAATAGGAAAAAAACTGATGAATTATGTTTGGAAAAAATATTCCATATTAAATGTCAAGTCTGTATATTCATTTGAAAAAAAAAACATACGACCTGAAATAGTTTAATATTTAGTCCTATAGCCCCAAGAGACAGAAATTTAGAACACACGTGTCCTGCGTTCATGGACGATATTTTAAGAGCAGCTTCAAACATGTATTACAGGTATATTGCGACTCTTGTAAAAAATAATTTTTGATATTACCTTTACAGGGGTATGCACAGACAAGGACTTTGGAGCATCTTGCTGAAATATTAGATCTTGCTGAATATACCATCATTAACCAGACCAAACTGAGCTCAAACTTCCCTGGTGTCGCTCAGTTCCAAAAAGTTCAAGAACTAAAAGATTGGGCTACCAAGAATAATTGTATAAATATTAATGGCCTAATGGCTGAACTACAGGCTGCAAGCCTTTCACGACTTTCTAGTAAGTAATGATCATGTAAGCGTATTATTTTCAGATACTGAAGAGATATTAACTTATTTCATAATATTGCTACAACAACCCACGGCAATTGAACTGTAAGCCAGTTACATATCGCACTTTTTTTTTGATGACGGCTTTACTTATGTGAGTATTTGTATACGGTATTAAGAGCGCATTTTGGGCAAGAAAGAAAAGATGGCATTAAACTAAAGCCGCAAATGCCTGCATGACTACGCACAGGGGTAAAGCTACATCAAGGATGTGCACTTTTCTTCATGTCGTTCACACAAAATAGTAATTTGTGTGGCGTAAAAAGATGCTTACAAATTATTTTATGCTTTATAATAATAATAATAATAATAATAATAATTTATTGAGCACTAAAATGTTTCAGTACATTTTACAGGCCCTCTAAACTACTTGTGTTATACATACATGTAATATATATCTAGACCTATTATCACACTTATGTGATTATTGATTGTTATTATTGATAACCCAATGCATCAGTTTTTGCACATTATGATTTTCCGGATCTACTTAAAATATTTTCCCTTACAGGTGCGACTGTGGACCATTATGCTGAAGAGGTAACAAAAATATTAAGCTTGAAGTCCGATGAATTTGAAGAACTCTGTAAAACTCTGGTTACTGCGAGGGACACGGACATATCCGATACAACAACCATTAACCAGCGAGAAATAAAGTAAGTGTTATTTAAACCACGGCCAGCGCGTTGAACAAAAAACTCGGCACTGCTGTATTCGACATACAAGCACGTCTTGTACGAGTGCTTTCCACGGTCTGTTGCATTCCCGTTACTCACTAGTGTAGTAACCAATCAGCTGAGGCCGTGGTTTAAGCCAGATACAACACTCGTCGCTGAAGTGTACATGAAATATCACGAGTGTATTGTAATATTTCACGTACAGCTCGGCGACTCGTATCGTGTCCATCACATACAGTATATCATAGACTCGGTTATAGGTGTAAAATTTCTACTTTTAGGTTTGATGCAGCGTGTCTGGACACGTAGCATATTATTAATCGATATTTATGTGTATATAACTGTCCACTTGACAATGTTGCTATATTTTTATACTGTCTGAAGTTTGAAAGATACAGCCCAAGAACACTTACTAAACTAATCCAATTGAAGCAAATGTTTTCATTCCTTCCCCAGTTCTTCAAATGAGCTTTGTTGCTACGACGCATTCATTGCCCACAGTGGTGAAGACAAGGATGTCGTAGAACCAGTCATGCAGCAACTAGAGGAACGAGGAGTCCGGTGTTGCTATGGTAGACGTGACTTCCACGCAGGGAGGTCTGTCATTGAGTCTATGGGAGAAGCGGTTTATGGATCAAAGTTCACCATTGTGTTCCTGTCCAGGAGCTTTATGGAAAGTCCGTTTTGCGTAAAGGAGAGAGACCTTGCCATGTTTAAAGCTATAGAATCAAGTGAAGATGCAGTCATTCCGGTCATAATGGATATCTCTCCACAACAAATCCCTAAGGAGTTAAAACTGCTGAAATACATCCGAATAAAAGACGAAGAGTTGGTCCAAAAGTTGTTTCAGGCCATTAAAGGTATATATGGTTCGATATATATATATATATATATATATATATATATATATATATATATATATATCATTACAAATGCGCGGACGAAATGTAAGCTCCCCAAGTATGTGAACTATTCGATTCCAAAGCCAGCCCAAGTCGAACATTATAAAGGTACTACACATGAATAGTGAAATGCGTGTTCGGTTTCTTTGTATTTCAGTGTTGGCAAACACAAATCCAATATTCCGTGTACATCTCTACCTATGTATTTCAGTACATAGCCATAGTTAAGCTGTATTGTGAGTGTAGGCCTTTTATTACGGAAATTTATAATTTAATACTAAATTTTTATAGGCTTTAATATACTGTTACATGTATTGAAATTTGGACCATCCTTGACCGGTGCTACTTGATTACCATTGAAATATTTGGTATATTCTCATTGCTCTACTTTTTTTTCAGGTCCGACAGAGTCTCCAACCTACGGGGAACTTCGGAATGAGCTTCAGGATGCACGTGAACAAATCGCGTTTCTACGAGACGAGAACAGAGAGCTGAAGGCAAAACTCCGCACACAGTGTCAATAATTGCTAACGGGGCATGTATTATCTGGTTGTAAATATACACATTGTACCTTTATTTTCGTGATTACGCGGGTTGTGAAACAAAATGAACTATTTAGTGACTGAAATGAGAGCCTGATCTCTTTATGCTGTGAACGTAGCTTTATCTATTTTGTGATGTGTGAGGTGTTTTTGAAGTCTGTAAAGCCCCCTTTGTAAAGCCCCGTAGAACGGCACCGTTTGAGAGTAAAAAATAACTTGACGTGCCTACAAATGGCCGAGCACTGGGCATACATTCTGGTGTATCCTCTCCAGGGAGGATACAGCAGATGGTCATTACATATAAGGACCAGGTGTTTAACTATTTGTCATATGCATGTATGTAACGCACATAATTGTACTTATCGTAAAGTCTACTGAAAAAAGTGTGCGCGTGTTTGTAATTTACATCTAAATATATTATTATTATTATTATATTCCCCGTGGTGTGATTTCGACGTATGCATTTCAATACATGTTCCACTCTGCGTCTGGGAGTAAAGAACCTGTGTTTATCACACAATTGGCAAAAACCACAATGTTATACCCGAGTATTTGCTATGTGATAATATACAAATACAAAATTAGGGTGAGGGCAGCTCAGCTATATATATTGACCGGAAGCTGGAATAGTTGACCGACACTATCACTTTTCTGCGGTCAGCAAAATAACATACTGACCTCAATCAACGTCAATAATTGTATTATATTATTTGTGAATAGCAATAACAGTTTCAAATCCAAGGATTGGTGATGTGGCCGTAATACATTTATGTCTGTGGGGCGGGAAAACGACACAAGATTCATCAGTAAATTTAAGAATATACAATGTGCAATGTACAATGTTTATTAGTCTATGAGCCAAAATGAAAAATGACCTTATATGTTTTTCACGATTTAGCTGCACCCACAGTCAGGCAAAGGTTTTATCATTGGTCCTTGTTTTGAACCTGAATTTTTCAATTTCTGCTTGTCTCCCGATTGAAAAGTGTCTTTTTGTACCGAATTTCAAGATGACCACAGTTGTATTCATTTGTAATATATATTTGCAATCAACTGTAATGACTTTGGAACTTTACACTGTAAGCAGGATATATGTATTTTCGGAAATTGCAAATAAAACTACAAGTTAAGGTAAGACGAAACAAGCTTTAACATATTGTATCTATCTTCATGTATTTATTCTTAATGTTGCCCAGTTCACTTGGTAATGTTTATGTTTTCAAAACTGGTGGTCATTTTGGCCACCCGCGTGTGCTCCTTTGGTTCCAGAGAATGGATATGGCGTCATCATTGTCTAAAAACACAGCCTTGAAATTCTTTTTTATTTGGATATTTGGAGCCACCATTTTCAATAACTAAGTGAATGAATGGAACTACATAAATTGAGATGCCAGCTAAGGGGCCTAGTACTTTGATTTTTATATACAGGTAACATGCTGCAATGCAATCCAATGTAAAAAAGAAAAAAATAGTCGATGTCTTTGATGCTTTAATGAATTGTTTGTAAGCGCACTGTTGTTGTTTCGGATGTTTCTTTCTTATAGTGTAAGCATTTCTTCTGTGTGTGTTTCTTCTCAAGCAATTTTAATTGAAAAAAAGCAATGGATAGGAATCTCTGAAAGTACACCAATGTTATATCACTTGTTGCATAATTATTAAGTACTGAGCAAAATAATCCCAACATGTTCTACTATTTCTTGTACAGTAATCTACAGTGATTATGTACAGTTCTTCATTCTATATAAGCTAACGTTGTGTTCTTCAATAGGGCTAACTGGTTTTCATATCTGGGGCCTTAAATGTTATGTAAAAGAATTTTTAAAGTACAAATATACACAAACGCAAACCCTCTTGTAGTGTGCACCAGGAAGGAGACGAACATATGGATGCTATAAATCTTTACACTACCCTCACCCCCATTCCCACCACAGGATCTCCCACAAACACACAAAATGAAATACGAAATAAATGGGTTGCGCCTTTTCCGAATATTTTTGGAAAGAGACAATTCCTCATCCTTGCCTTTCAATACATCCAGAAACTAGTCTCCTCGCCTATTTGTGAGTTTGACTAAAAACTTCACCCGCATCAGTTTCGTCAGCATTGTCTGCTAGGGCACGCTTGTTGTGACATTTGCAAACCGATCTTGTTTGCCCTCTGAAATGATACATTAGGTGTTTAAAATAAATGCCTCACATTAATTGCCAGTTTGATAAAGGGTATTTTATATTCCATATATATTTTATATTTATATTCGTTACACAAATTTAATCAAAGTTGTCAATAATACACAATCCTGCGTTAAATAAACGTTATGATGGAATCAGTCTATGGGGTTCATTTAACAGAGTTCAAATTAAAATCTGACGACGAATCGTTACCAATGTTCTCACTTTCCTGGACAGCAGGATAGTTTAAGTATAATATCAACCTAAATTAGAATATGACATGTCGAATATAATAGCATACAATATACATAATATCTTACGGCAGCATAACCATTGCAGGCGAACAGTCTTCTTTGCATCCTCCTACGCAGGCACAACCAAATATGTTGCAGCTCCCCTTTCCACAATACTCACCGTCGAGCTGCAGTAACAAATAAGACTCTCAAAAGATTTGATTTCAAAACTCCAGTTAGAATAATAATAATAATAATAATAATCATAATAATAATAATAATTACGAGGTCGCACACCTCAACTATTTCAGAACTGCTCCATTTTTCATATCCACAATGTTAATAGTGTCCAAATGGTAGTGTCCTAAACACATACCTGATGAAAGGTCTTTTAAAAATTCAAATGTTCAATGTAATGGCCAAGGAATTGGCAGAAAACACAACGTGAGAAAAATTAGAATCGACCATCGCCCAGGGCTAGCCCAACCTCCAGACACTATAATTCTGACATGTCCATGCACATCCCTGATGACAGGTCTATCAATCACTAAAGTTTCAAGTTTCTTACTCTAATGGTCTAGGGGGAGTACACAGAAATTACTATGTGAAAATAATAAAGAATCGGCCACCCAAGGGGCAGACCAGCTCTCTGTTGCACTAAAATTTTGAAATGTTCGTGTACATCCCCTAATCAATCCCCAAAGTTTGAACTTCCTACATCTAATGATCTAGGAAGAAATGACTGAAATCACAAAAGCTCAGACACATCGACTCGCGGACAGGCGGGATAACATGATCCCCGACGTGTTCATCAGCTAATCCGAGTGCATTCAGCAGGAGTCCCCGCAGCGTTAGATCAAAGTACGTAGAACGATAGTTTCATTGGGAATGAGTCATATGGTTTATGTATAATGCCCCTATTCCACACCGACTACGAATTTCACGAACAGCCAAGAATCCATAAATCCCAGGATTCTTGGTTAAAACGTGATAATTTTTAAAGTTCTTAACTGATTCTTCTCTTTTCTCATTCATTTCATGCAATTCTTGAGAGATCGTCAAATCGACTCAAAAACTTCGACCCAGATTTCTATTTAACGCCAGTTGATGTTCATACTCCAGTTCTACATGTAGGACAAGTACTATAGGTGCTCTATGTTGAACATCCATTTTGCAGTGAAGCCCAAGCAGATACAAGATTTCTACCAGAAATGTGCAAAATTCCAAGATACCTCACGATTTCTAAAATGTATCAACCCCTGGCGGTTCGTGGAATTCGTGGTTGGTGTGGAACAGGGGCATCATAGTATCAGTTTAACTTACCTTGCTACAATCAAGGCAAAGTTCATGATAAAAATACGAACTGTGACAACAAACTTCTTCGCTTCTCTCTACGAAAGTAACTGACAAAAGAACAGTTACAAGTGCAGTTACAGCAACAAGATGACCAGCCATTCTCTGCAATGTAATTCAAATGATCGTTTTAAGCGATAGTTTTAATATGAAAGTACAACGTAATACAAATGTCGCGCATATATATATATATCGTCACGCAGTACATAAGGAAGAACATATACTGTACTGTTATAATCAAAAATATTTTTTCAAACTCATTTTTCAAAAAAAATATTCAGTTTCTAAAAATTCTCAATCCAGGATGGCGGCAACCAAATTCCAAAATTACCAAAGTTCTGCTTAAAAAAACAAACATGAAAAAAAAACACGTATTTTATATTTGTATCCTGCTAAATATTATATCGTGATTTAGTCAAGTTTTAAAAAATTAGAAAAATAATTTTTTAAAATGGTAGAATTCAAATATTTCAAATTTTAGCTAAAATGCCCAGATGTGGCCATTTTCAAAAAATATTTTTCATAGACTGGCCAAAGACATATTATGTGATATAATTATCATATAAGATTAAAATGTACATATTTTGAATTTTTATAATCAAAAATATTTTGAAATACATGTTTTTAAAAGTGCTATTTTTTTAATCCTCAGCACTCAACCAAGATAGCGGCAACCAACTTGCAAGTTTTGCATATTTGTATATTGCTGCTTAAAAAACAAAGATGGATAAATACTTATTTTTATATTTTTTAAATAAAATTTATATTTATTTCGGTACTATCAATCCAACGTTGCAATGTCATATGATATTAAACTCTGTGGCCATCTCAGACACTGTGGTATACTTCTATGATTTCTGTGAAAGCAGCCACGGATATGACGTCATTACCCTCTGAAAAATCACCATTGTTTATTACTTGTTACATGGTAACCACGTGCATGTGACTAAGTAAACTGTTAGTTTTCAAAACATTCTAATCTTGTACTGCAGTAATTATGTAAAACATGGCTATATCGGTTATACTAAACGCATTTAAACAGAGTGAGTATATTTCACCTTTCAGTGTTAATGCCAATATCGAGGTTAGAAACAACTATACTGAAAAATCGTTCTCTCCTCTCCCCTATCAATCAACGCAGGCAACATATTTTGTGAACTAAGACAAAATCAAATTGTTTATTATTATGCTGTTAATATGTAAATCACTGCCTGAATAAAGCAGGTGC